TTAAGTGATCAAAATATCAAACATGACAATTTTTCAACCTGTGGGCCATGGCACGTGGGCGGGCCTCGGAAATGATCCAATATCAGCGACTTGGTAAAACGAGAATAATATGAGATTTTAGTAAGATGTTTTTTGCTTCTTTGATTTACTCTTTAATACATAAGGATGAGGATTAATGGGATTAGTGCCATGGCTCAGAAGGTTGGGAAACACTGATCTAAGGGATGAGTGAAAATACATATCATATAAATCCAGTTAGGGCAGGGGGGGGCAATTATCTTCTCTGGGGGGGGCACCCAGTGGGATATCGTCGCAGTGTGGAGGGTCGGATGCGGTTTCACCTGGTGACCATTTAATATAAACATAACTAACATTTATTTTGTTTTGAGTGAAAGCTTCTTCAGTCAAAACAACATGATGAGTGAAAGTGTTTAAATAAGACACAGACCAAACGGTTCCGTGCTCAGTCTGAGGTTGGGAAGAGTCCGGGGCCCACATAGGAACATGAAAGGGGCCGTATGTGGCCCTCAGGTCGCAGGTTGCCCAGGTCTGTCCCCAACATGTGTCAGAAACTATCTCTGCTTTTGTGTGTGTGTTTGTGTGTGTGTGTGTGTGTGTGAGAGAGTGTGTGTGTATGTGTCTCTGTGTGTGTGTGTGTCTGTGTGTGTGTGTTTGTGTCTCTGTGTGTGTATCTCTGTGTGTGTGTCTCTGTGTGTGTATCTCTGTGTGCGTGCATGCGTGTTTCCTATGGGCATTTGTTCTGTAACAGAGTAGTGTTGCTGAGACAAGCCAGAGTTTCCCTGGCGAATAAAGGCCTCTGATTGGCCAATCCTGATATGATCCTGGTGTTAAATATAAACACCAGGATCATAAAGTGCACTAAACCACAGATTTGTCAAGTCTTTGTCCATGAGCACTTCCCTATTGGGCTTCAGTGAGCCAAGTAGCCCTCTTTAATATTTAAATAATCATAATCGTTCCCATAGACTGTGTAATAGGAGCTGACCGAGAGCTGCTGTCACTCCAGCGTTAGCCTTAACGCAGGACATGCAGATTTCAACATAAGCTAGCTGGAGCCAATGTCCTTATATGGGCGTTTGTTCTGACGGCGTTAGCGTTTCACATTTAGCTAGTGCTGTACAGGAGTGCATTGCCAAACCAGTCACAATCCTCCCAAATAATACACACTTTTCACAATCTGCACAATACTGAGATCATTCAGAAATGCAAAGAGGGAACGATAAATGTTTTTACGCAGTCTGTGTCTGCGTCCGTCAGAGAGAGCTCAGTAAATAAACATGGCGGCGTCTCTCTGAATGCATAAAAAGCCCATGTTTTGGACTTAAGGTGAGTTTGGTTGGAGCATTACTCTCACAGCGGTGGGTAACGCTATGTTTTTGAGAGGATGTTTGTGTCTGCAGCGGAGATAGCTTCCACTCCCAGAGACCCCCGCGCTCTTGTTTAAAGCAGCACAGAATCACCACAATGTTTTGCTTTTAGATGAATAAAAACCCTGCATTTGTGCCCAGCTCTGCCTCCGACGCACTTTTAGCTCTGTCAAGACTGGAGTCCCACCGACCTGTTATGTGTCTGTTCTTGGGAAACTCTTTCTTTTATTGTCGTGCGGAGATGGCAGAAGAATTGCCATCAAAACACTCTTTGTGCTCGGAGTTGCAAACAAGACCATTTAGCTGTTATTTGCTCTCAGTCGCAGAGACATCACACCTCAAAGCAAGCGTTTATGGAGAGGAGAGAGAAAAGAAAAACATCTTGAGGGAAATTGGACAGGTGTAGAAAGGAACTGAGCGGCATTGAAGAGGCGAGGAGGGGTCGCCGTGTCCAAGCCGAGGCAAACAGGGAAAAACATTCGTAATTGTCACCGCAGGATGCTTTGTAATTGCACAGTTTAAAAACACAGATACAGCGTCGAAGCAAAGCGGCAGAAGAAAGGGGAGGAAGTACCACCGTCCGACCAGGTTCATTTAGACTGGCATTCTACAAGTTGATTTTTGTGGTTTCGTTCCTGGCCGTCGGTGTCATAGACAGTGCATATATAGAGATGGACATTGCTAACGTGCTGTATTTAAACTGTTAAACTTATCTGTTGTTGCCGAATCTTCCACTTTGTATAATTCTCCGAGACGACTATTCTTGTAATTTATGCACAAATGTACTTGAAGTGAATTGACTTTGGTTCATATTCTCTTCGTTTGGCAATAACAGAAGTCAAACATTTCTGTAAAAGGAGGTACTACTCTTTCCCCCATCCTTCTCATACTCACAGCCCTTGTCTTTCTTTTGTGTGTGAAAACTAGTCCAGGAACACCCCAGAGGAGAAACATAACTCTCTCTTAACTGTGTCACTTATAAAGCAATCACTGCCTCGGCACAGAGCGAGCTGCGGAGATTCACACCTTCACAAAGATGTATAAATAATTCATCCCGAGTGTGTCTCATGGACTCATTTCTCTGCACTTGAAAACGATTTGTGCTGCTCTGTTTACCGCAATGAACCCTGGGAACAAGGGCCTAATCTCAGCTCAGAAACAGACGGACACTTGATCTTCTCTGAACCACATGTTACTCTGTCTCTTCCCGGTCTGTGATTGGCCAGACTCCAGGGCCCTGCTCCAGCGGCCCCTGCTCTCGCCTGTTTGACCGGATGGAATCTGAATATTTCATAATTGTCTGTCATTGTGAGCAGTTGTGTTCCGCTGCTTATGTATTCATGCTGGTGCAGGCTTTGATACTCGGGCCCCAGAGTGTGGCGGCTCCTGGGGGAGAACATGCAGACCAGCACATGGGAACAATATGTGGATCTGGCTTCAGACGTGTGGAGGGTCTGCGTGAGGAGCAGAGGGTGGTCTGTCGGTGCTGACTGCAGGTTCCCACAGAATGTCTATTTCTGCGGAGGCGAGAATTGGCCCCGGGGTCAGAATGAGCAAAGAGAAGGTTATTTGAGTAGCACAGTTCATACAGAAGGCAAGTCACAGTGCACAGCTAAACAATCACACAAGGCTTTAAAATCATCATTATTCACAGCACATTAAAAAAAGTAAAAATACAAGCCTTTAAACAGCTAAACAAAACTGTTTTAACCTGGATTTGAACATTAGAGAAGAAGCTTGTCTCATATCTTCATGAAGACTTTCAGATTTTAGCCTGAAACACTTTAGTCCTGACTCTGGGACCAGCAGGAGGCCAGTCCCTGTGCTCCTCAGACTCCCAGCAGGAGGCCAGTCCCTGTGCTCCTCAGAGTCCTATGTCATATGGCCCTAACATGTCACAGATGTCACTCATGACACTGAGTGCTTAGCTCTCTCACTTCTCAGCAAGAAGGGCCGTGTTGTTGTCAACTGCTTTAGTGATTTAATAAATTTTTCACTTTAAACATGTGAGAAGAGGTTTATTTATTTATATATAAATCAAACATGATTACAGTTCTTTCAAAATCTTCTCCCTCTGGGACTTTTCTTTTATCTAAAAACACAGCACAGCACCAGTGTGTACAAAAACATCATAATCATAGATGTTTTATAACTCAGATCTTTAATGAAAATAAAAAGTATTTAGAATCAAACCGTTACAACAGTCGCTCTTCACTGGAGCTTTGTTTTGATCAAATGTAGAAAAATACCAGATTAACTGAGTTTGAAGTTTTAAACCACTCATCCCTAATGGACAGAATAAGAAGGTCCTGTGTTCTTTGCTGAGTGGAGTTTGCATGTTCTCCCTGTGTACGCACAGGTTTCCTCCAGGTGCTTCGGTTTCTTTCCCCTGCCTCTAAAAACATGTTCGATAGCTTCCCTCTCTCTGGGGCCTGTACTCAGATAAGATAAGAGATAAGAATTCCTTTATTAGTCCCTCAGTGGGGAAATTTCGATGTTGCATCGCACATATAGGACAGTAGTAAGAGCACACAGGGAGCACACACAATATATACACTATATACAAATAAGTAGTAGCAATGTTTCTTAACTAACATAACTAGCTGTAGATGCTGAAAATGCTTCAATACCAGTCAAAAAATATATATGTAGTAGTGCAGTTATATACTGTACAGTTAAATAGTGCAGGATAAAAAGTATATAAGTAAAGTGACATGAGGTAAAGCGACATGAGGTAAAGTGACATTGTTCTGTGACATCCTGAAGTTGCAGTATTGCACATTGCACATGATTTAAGAATTTACTTAATTCCAGATGAATTAAATTTACAGGCTCAGCAGTTGAGGGGGAGCGCGATGCAACAGGCTGCTGGCAGCTTGCCTGCGCCTCACTCATATAGGTTTATAGATATATGATTATTAGTGGTAATAATTACCTGCACTAGACTGCCAACTTAGTCATAGTCACGTTTTATTTGTACAGAAGCAATACGCACCAGATACCTCATATTGTGAATCTATTATTGTCCTTTTTAACGTGACGTTTAGGGGCTGGAGCCAGGACACATGTTTGCACATTTCCTGTCTGTTTGAAAACCTTGATGATCCTGTTAAAGATATTAAATGTATTTCTCTATTGTGAGATCAGTAAAGTTTTATCTCATCTTATGCCAATAAATATGAATATTGTCGGCTTTGTTTTGATATTTGTGAAATAACAGGGTCAGGGTTAGGGTTAACAGGTAATACATAATGAATTACGTTTTTGAAGTAACCTCAAAGAGGTTGTGGACCACTGCTGGAGTCTAATTAACCCTAATTAACTAAGCCTTACATTAAAAAGACACATTATTGAGATAAAACATAGGTACAGTTCACAGACTACAATGGTATAATCATAGACTGTATATAATGTGACCGTGACCAGCGCTGGAGATGATAGCCATGGATCTATAATAATAACAGTAGTTGTAGATAATAATAATGCAGCTCGCGCTGGAGTTGACAGGTCTCGCGAGACTTGCAAAGCCTCGTGGCCTCGTGCACGTGTCTTTATTTGTTAAAGTGCTCGGTCTGTGCTCGGTCTGTGCTGCTGCCGAGGCGGAGGGTGATGATGGCGGAGCTGCTGCACGGACAGGCCTCGGTAGCACAGAACGATGACTTTGCAGACACTATTCGGCGTGTCCGACAGGTAAAAGTTCGTCCAGAGCTGACCAAGCTGAGGCTTTCCACTGGGAGAATAAATTATGCATGTAGCTACAGAGCACCCGGCGTGCTAACATGCTAACATGCTAACACCCACTCGAGGGGCAGATTAGACCGCGTGAGAAATGTGTATCAGTAAATAATGTCTCTCCACTGCCCACACCTCCAGAGGGTCCCACTGTGAGGGAAGGACATGTCCCTTTGTGCTGTCAAAAGTTTCCTCTTTGTAATAACTCAGCGGCACCAACCTGTTGTCAAGTCGCAAAAGTTGTGGTTAGCCTAGCATGCTAACCTGTCAAAGTTGAGCTGGTGCGTGTCAAACTGTGGGGGATAATGGCCTGGGAACAGAAACCATGCCATGTTATAAAAGCCAGCCCTGTCTCCTTTGCCTTGTTGTTCTGTCTGTAATAAAAACGTGACTTTGATCCAACAGTTACTACGCTACTATTAGCATGAGCATGCGTGGTACCAGGTCCAAAAGGCAGTCAGGCCACATGCCCAGACAACTGTTCAAACATCTTCTGTCCTATCCACTGAACTCTGCAGTGTGGGGCTTTGAAAGGAATGGCCCCATGTTTTCATGTCATAAGTCAACACGTTCTAACACAAGACTTATGAATGAATTTACTCAAATACAAATACACTTCACGAATTATGGACAGCTGTATTTAATATTTGAAAAGGGCATAATTATTGGTATATACTTGTACTTCTGACTGGGTGGAATAACCTATAATTGGATGCATGAAGTTGTTAATGGTCCTTCAAATTGGTGAAACTCAGGCAGTTTCCAGAAAGATTAGAAATACTATTGTCAAAATCCAAAGATATCCTCTTTAATTTTTTGAACTGCTGTAGGTTTGTCTGTGATTGTGGTAAATTTTCATGTAACTAATATTTATTCTCAAAGGGAACCTTTGTATTGCACAAGCTTTACTGTGGATGAACCTTCATTGGACTTGTTGTATAGAGTGAACTCTGTTATACAAATGTTTACTTTTCTTTAAATCTCAGCCTTGCGATAGTTTTCATCTGGTAAATGGAAGATCTTGTGTTTCCAGATGGCCGCCAAAATGGGAGGAGACCAGATGCCCTCCCTGAACACGAGTCCAGTTATCGATGCTTCACTTTACAGTTTTGGAGGCCACAGACGATCTCCAGATAATGGTGGTAAAGAACATTTACCTTTTGTTCTTATACAGAGCTCAAGACAAAACTACTTGGAATAAGATTATATTAATGCTTCCCTCAGTGGGAAACACTAATACTAGAGGAGGTCCTTTAGACTTTGGTAAGGCAGGTTGGTTTTACTCTACTGGTGTTGCTGCAATAGTAATCAAATAATAGTTTCACCAGGAAGTACTATGTATGTTGTGGGTCTACAAAGCCACTGAGCGTGGTGCTGAAACTAGTCTTTTAAAGAATCTTTTAAAAAAGAATCAAGAGAAGAGCTGCCTGAAGGTGCCCAATGGATGCTTCACTCCATAGGACAAAACACAATATATGTGTGACACACATGGCACAACATGAACATGCTGTTTTAGCCACTCATAGAACACTGCTCAGAGCTCGTCCCAAACAGCCACAGGAAATGACTGGTTCTGAGAATATACGCTAACTACCCATTTTTATACTTATGCTCTAATGTGCATCAGTAGGTCAAGGGCCAAACTTACTGTGTGTGTGAATTCAAGAATTATTTTTTATTTTTTCGGTTTTTAGAGAAAATAGTCCAGTCTTTTCAGTTTGAACTTAATCAAAATGAATACAATTTTAATACACTTAACCCTGTTTCCGCCTTGAGGGAGAGGACGGGGGTTAAAGTCGGGTCTTCTGACCCACCGTCACAGAGTCTTAAATGATAAACACTTTTCAGAATGAGCCACTGCTCTTATTGTACATTACTGAATGCTTTGTGATTTTATAAATGCTGGCAGAAGTATCTGTCTTGTGACTCATTTTGAATTCTGTAGAATACTCTAGACTCAATTTGTGTCTCAAATGGAAAATATTAAAGCTTCCTTATTACTTCCCGGTCTTGCCCACTGGATCTCTGTGATCCTGGTGTTTTTATTTTTATAGGATCACAGCTGCCACCACATACAGGTACAATTCCAGGTCTTTCTGAGTGGACTTTGCAAGTTTTACCCTGCATAGATTTTCTCCGGGTTCCCCAACCGCTAAGACATGAACCTGGAGCCAGTGGGACTTTCCTGGTGAAATTGTCTTTATAAATCCAGAGATGAGCCATGTTATGATTGACCAATGAGAGGCCTTCTTCATGTGGGAAACTCAAACTTGTCTTAGCTAAAAAAAAAAAAAAAAAAAATCTGTTACGCCGCAAAGCTAACGCAGTCCAAACCAATGCCCATATAAGGAAATTGGCTCCTGCTAGCTTATGTTCAAATGGACTTCTCCATATGACAAACACTATGGTGACGTCAGACCAACCTTTGTTGTTTAAAGATTACCTTAAATGTGATTATTTGAATCACATTTAAGGTAATCCTTTCTGTCATTGAGAAATCTGTGCAAACGTTCGTGAAACAGAAATGCTAGATTTCAGGTGTTGGAAGTGAAGACTGCACATCCTTCATTGACCCGACAGGACCTTTGCTTAGTGCTACCTGTCAAAATTCAATTCAGGAGCGACAATCACTGCCCCGATGTGTCAGTGTTTCTCTCTGAGTGCGTCTGATTGAAGCCCACTCAGACTGTCAGCCTGATGTCCATGTTGGCGACGGCCTCCTGCTGGGGGTCGCACACACCGTGGACCATCCCCTTCAGCAATCTTTTCACTTTTCTTTTATGACAATTGGAATCGTAATCAGATTTCTAACTCATCTGTCCTCATTGCAGGAAACCAATTCAATACGATGCTAAACTCAAGGTAAGTTAGAACAGCTGCAGAACAAAGGGACCCGTGTGTGACTGTGTTTCTCTCTCAGGGCTCTCGCCACAGAAGACTTCAAAGTGCCTGATAAAATGGTGGGATTCAGTAAGTGACCCGTGATCGTATTTAAAATGGTCCTTCTCATTCCATCCTAAAGACACGCCTCTCTCTTTCAGTTATTGGGAAAGGGGGCGAGCAAATATCAAGAATTCAGTTGGAATCCGGTTGTAAAATTCAGATTGCATCAGGTAGGACTACGGTTTAAGATCCTTGTGTCAAACCACTTTCTTCATTAATGTTATTCAAAAACCTAATGCATTATGTTACTTTTTACTGTCGTTTCATGTGTTACTACAACATTACTGTAAAGCATTACACTGCATTACTTTGAAGTTACTTTCACCAAATAAATACAAACTAGATGTTGCTTATGATGCTAGGCTATAGTGCTGCCTCAGCCGTCTTCTTCCAGAAAGGAACTTCTCTCTCCTGCTGATCTCATGGTGGCAGAGAATAAAAACAAAACGCAATTTAATTTTGAGTTAAAATACATGTAATTCTCATCACCGACATTTTGAACAGAGTAAAATTTGACCCAGTTTTTTAATGCTTTACCTGTTCGTAAAGCTCATCTTGTCTATTCTAAGATTGTAAACAATAATGGTTTTGTCCCAACATAATTTAATAAAAGGAAAAATAGAACTGAAACTGTTCATAAGATCTACAGTCACACACGTCCAAAGCTTAAGAGGGGGGTAGTAGTCTGGTAGTAGACTGAACAAGACGACATTACAACAGACTAGGACTGGTCCAGGGTTTCAGACCAGGGACTGGTCAGCAGGTCCTGGGTTTCAGACCGGGGACTGGTCAGCAGGTCCTGGGTTTCAGACCGGGGACTGATTCCTCAAAAGCAAAGATTTTCCACTCTTTTCCATTTCCTAAAATCCCTCTCAACGATAGTTCCTCGGCACATTTAAAAAACATTTAATTTAATGTGTTCCATAACAAGCTTTTTACATTCCACCTGTAAACATGTAATGACATGTATCAACCATAACATTTGGAGCAGGTTAAAGTTGTCCACTTCCTGTTCTCTCAGACAGTGGGGGGATGTTGGACAGACCCTGCACTCTCACAGGGAGCCCAGAGAACATTGAGTAAGTCTGAAAACCTCATCTCATTGACACTGAACTTAAAAATGCCGCTAACCGCACCGTGTCTCGCCGCAGCCAGGCCAAGAGGCTCCTGAATGTGATCGTGGAGCAGTGTCGGTACGGACCCGGCTTCCACAGCGAGATGGACGGCAACGGCGCCATCCAGCAGATCCTCATCCCTGCCAACAAAGTGGGTCTGGTCATTGGCAAAGGAGGAGAGACCATCAAGCAGCTGCAGGTCTGTACCTTCACCGCAGTCATGTACAGGTTCTGTGCCTTCACCGCAGTGACTGTCCTGTACGATGCAGCAGGTCTGCCTTCACCGCAGTCATGTACGGGCACACCTTTTATCTAAACAATCAAAGAGATGGATAGATACTTTGAGAAATTCAGGTGTACTGTAGCAGCAAAAATAAAAATAAATTATCATTCTAAAAAGCAAGCAGCCTCAGGTCACAGCAGCAGAGGTGGAGTAGCCGCTGGGTGGAGCAGGACAGGTCACAGCAGCAGAGGTGGAGTTGCCTCTGGGTGGAGCAGGACAGGTCACAGCAGCAGAGGTGGAGTTGCCTCTGGGTGGAGCAGGACAGGTCACAGCAGCAGAGGTGGAGTTGCCTCTGGGTGGAGCAGGACAGGTCACAGCAGCAGAGGTGGAGTTGCCTCTGGGTGGAGCAGGACAGGTCACAGCAGCAGAGGTGGAGTAGCCTCTGGGTGGAGCAGGACAGGTCACAGCAGCAGAGTTGTAGCAGGACAGGTCACAGCAGCAGAGGTGGAGCAGGACAGGTCACAGCAGCAGAGGTGGAGCAGGACAGGTCACAGCAGCAGAGGTGGAGCAGGACTGGTTACAGGAGCAAAGGTGGAGTAGCCTCTGGGTGGAGCAGGACAGGCGACAAGGTGGAGTAGCCGCTTGGTTCAGAGAATTTTCTCTGCTCTGGTCCAATGTAAAATGCTAAATGCTTCATTGGCATTTTTATGGCGGCAGTGTTGTCAAAGCAAAGTTCATGCACTTACAGGGCTTAAAGTTTTCCGGCACCGTGCCGGAAATCCGGCGTGAGAAAAAAAAAAAAAAAAAAAAATCCCCCCTTTTTTTTTTTTAATATATATATAAATAAATAATGATTGCTGTCATTTGAAAAAGGTTCAAGTGTGTTCTACCAATTGTATGAAAGGATTGCATGTGTATAGCGCAGGGATTAAAGAGTTCCGTCTAAGTGACGGATTTCCGTCAAATGAAATTGGTCTGAAAAAAAAACAAAATATATAATAATAATATAATACACACAATGAAATGGTTAATTATAACAAAATATATAGTAATACGTGTGAATCTGTTGTATATATCTAGATATATATTAATAATTTGAATATAATTGTATTTATATGTATATAGAAATAAAAAGTAACGAGTGGGCCTTGAACGTGCCGTGGCTAGCTACATGAGCGCTCCGTAAATGATTCAAGGCAATGGGACGTAGCCAAGTTAGCGATGGTAACACGGAGGTGAAAGTTTCTGAAAAGTGCACGGAGCTTTTGAAAAGGAGAAGAGGACAAGGAAAATGTAATCCCGAACGGAGCAATAACAGCCCGCAGCCCGCGGACCGGTAAACTGGGCGCGTTATCAGAGGAAAGGTAGGACATAATTAACGTTTACCAAACGCAATGCTTTTTTATTTAACGGAATGTACAATATGTACTTTGTTGTGACTGGGAATGGGGACAAGCATGTCTTGGTGAGCTTTTGATAATATCTTGGTGGCAATCCCCATGCAAAACTGCGTGATAAAAAAGCAAATCAACGAGAGCGAACGGAAGAAACTCGCAGAAGAAAGGTGTGTGTTAGCAGGTCTTATATTCATTCATCAAAGCTAGCCTAGCATTCACGCACAATCACAATCATGGATCGTTGTTTATGGAAGAAGGAGCTGTATAAGTTGCTGTTGATAACGGAGTGAAAAATAAATGGAGGTTGGCATGGCTGGATGAGGTGGAGACGATGGGATTCTGTTGCTTCATGGTGCAAAAAGATGAAGGTGTCCGGTGCTTGTTCGTACTTCGCTATTATTATTTTTTTATATGGGAGTAATGAGAAAACAGCTTTGGATTCACCACCAGCTCAAAACTGCGCACTTGGCAGCTGTCCGTGCACTTTCCCACACTTCTTTACCTGGTGCATCAGATTCAGCGACAACTGAGACTAGGCTTGCTCTGGTGGACTGTGTCTGTGACCTAAAACTATCTGTGGCTTTATCGCAGAAAATAACCTGTCGTTCAGAACCATCACTACCGCTGGTAGATTTAATTATCATTAATCATTTGCAGTTGATAAAACTGCGCTGTGCACTAGCACCAAGTTGATAGGGAAACCTTTTTCTTAAACATTGAGTGTCCACAAACAAATGTGGACAGAATTTTGAATGTCCTTTTTAACATGTTGGGCGGAGGGTTTAATGAGGAGGCTACTTTGTCTGAACAATTAAATAGAGGGAAAAAACCGCATGGTCCAGAGGAGGAAGCAGCTGGTGCAGAGGAGAGTTGTCTGGCTGGTCCAGAGGAGGAGGCAGCTGGTGCAGAGGAGAGTTGGCTGGCTGGTCCAGAGGAGGAGGCAGCTGGTGCAGAGGAGGAGGCAGCTGGTGCAGAGGAGAGTTGTCTGGTCTGGCTGGTCCAGAGGAGGAGGCAGCTGGTGCAGAGGAGGAGGCAGCTGGTGCAGAGGAGGAGGCAGCTGGTGCAGAGGAGAGTTGTCTGGCTGGTCCAGAGGAGGAGGCAGCTGGTGCAGAGGAGAGTTGTCTGGCTGGTCCAGAGGAGATGATAAAAAGGCTGCAGCCCCACCGCACCAGCCAGACAACTCTCCTCTGCACCAGCTGCCCACTCCTCTGGACCAGCCAGACAACTCTCCTCTGCACCAGCTGCCTCCTCCTCTGCACCAGCTGCCCACTCCTCTGGACCAGCCAGACAACTCTCCTCTGCACCAGCTGCCTCCTCCTCTGGACCAGCCAGACAACTATCCTCTGCACCAGCTGCCTCCTCCTCTGGACCAGCCAGACAACTCTCCTCTGCACCAGCTGCCTCCTCCTCTGGACCAGCCAGACAACTCTCCTCTGCACCAGCTGCTTCCTCCTCTGGACCATGCGGTTTTTTCCCTCTATTTAATTGTTCAGACAAAGTAGCCTCCTCATTAAACCCTCCGCCCAACATGTTAAAAAGAAAGCATACAGATAATTCACACCCTAAACAAAAGAAAAAGAAATGAATATTTCAAACAGTACTGTTAGCATTTGTGTTGTTTTTTAATGTTTTACCAAATCAAAGTCTATTGAAAGTTAACACAGGTGCTTTATGAAGACACACAGCACAAAGCTCATTTGCACTTTAGTTTCATTTATTTGTGTTGAAAGCTAAATGTTTAATAAGTAGAATTTAAAAGTTAAGGTTTATTTATATATTTAAGGTTGAATCTGGAAGTGTTCTTGTTCCTGATCCAGTGTTTTTAGTTTTTGTATGTCATATCTGATGTCTAGTTTGGATGTTTAATCAGTTTACAGTTTACACATAAAATGTTAGTAATAACATCAATAATAATTAAAAAAAAGAAAATAGTATATTCACTTACTGTGATGTGGTATGTTTTTTTTTTTTTTTACATTATCACACAAATCCAAACTAGGGGTACTTGCAGAAAGGTCTTGGCAAGGTGAGGCTTTACATTTAAGTAACAATTCAATAGTCAGATGATGTATTTATTGCCAACAACTGATGTTTATAATAAACATCAGTTGTTGGCAATAAATAGATATAAATTATATGTATGAGCGTATAAAGGCGCTTATAAAAAACGCTTATTAGTGATCATTCTATGATTCATATAGATGGTTCAGGCTCAGGAATTTTTTCAACTTTAACCCATGCACTTATTATGACCAAGTTTTAGTAGCGAGAGGACACTGGTTTATGGTCAAATCATGACTGTGAATGGGTGAAGCAGTTAAAACGATTGTCTCTGCTACATTACAACATGAAACCTGCGACTTGCTTTCTCTGAAGCTGCTGTGAGACGACGTCCGTCAGTGCGGCTTCAGTGGCGCTCGTACGTTGTGTTGTAGCATTTTTATGTAAGTCTTATTCATAATCATCTAGTGATGCGGCAAAAATTGCTTCTGGTCGGTATTGCGATTTATTACACACACAATTTAATCAATCACAACTGGTTTCTACACGACGCGTTTTTGTACTTTTGCAGACAATAATAGATTATTTCCCTCAGTTTTTTGTTTTTGTCTTTGAATAACAAAAGGGATGTGAATCACAATATATCACAGAACCAACGTTTTTATTGTGGCCCAAATATTGCAATACCAAGTAAATCTAACTAATATTCACTTATCTTAACCCCTTAAGCTCGCAAGCAAACGAGAAAAAAAATACTTCTGCTGGCAACAGCAGATGTATTTTGAACTTCATAAGCCACAAGCTTTGTGGCTTATGTGGCTTTTCTCAGCTATATTTATATATGTGTAAACTATATCAGACTTTGCATTAAAAAGATATAACGCATAATATGGGCACAAAATAAATCGTGTTTGTATACGTTTCTTACCTTTCGTCTTCTGCTGCTCCAACAAATTAGACTTTCCCCATCTTTGCTTAGTCTCTTTCTCTCCGTAAGTCTTCATTGAAAAAGAATATCCACTTGTGTTTCCAAAGTATAATCCAATCTTCAGAAATAATCCAAAAATGCTTTTTTCTTTTCCAAAAAAAAACGCTCCAAAAAATGTTCAGGCTTCTCTTTCACATTTCACCAAGTTTGAGCTTTGTTTAGCCCCACAAACATCATATCCACGTATTCCTTGAGTCCTTAGCTTTAAAAAGAGAGGTTCCATGAAAAGATAGGAGCAGAGTTCAGTCCGCAGGACCCTTGTGAAGAAGACAAACCGCATCAATTTGCACAGGGTCCATTTTTGCCTTGTTGTTGATTACAGGCTAGCGCAATGTGCTAGCACTGAATGATTGACGTGTCTAAGTAGCCAATAAAAAGAGCTTTCTTTTGATGGGTGGGACTTGTAGGAACTCTTCATTTTCACAGTAAAAGCGTGCGTAAAGACGCTGTTAGTACTGCTGCGCATATTTTATATGCATTTACACTACTAAAAAAATTATTTTGAAAAAACGTAAAAGAAAATCACACAGATTTGTAACTTATAAGTACCAAAACTAAAACATATGCTTTTTATGATGGTGAAATGTTAGTAAAGCAGTTTGGCACAATTTGGCACAAATTTTGCCAAATTGGTTCCGAATGACACTACTTGATAAAAAAAGAGAAACTGCATAAAAACTATAAAACTTAAAAGTCTGAAACTTTACACAGTTGTTGTCAATAACACAATGAACAAATTAGCGTTGAAATTTTTCTTCTTCCAATGAAGTAGGCTTTTTTAGGGCATTTATACATTGAGTTTTTTAGGCGAGGCAAAAAAAACAGGTTTTTTTCCCAAACTTCAAAGGATGCAGAGTGAAATAGGAATGACATACATTATTTCAGTGTATATTTACATAAACTAGAAGGGCCTAGCTTTAAAATGATGCATCATTTTACATGTGAGATGTAAGATGTGTTTTTAAATAAGCAAAGACATTTGGGTATGCCAAACTTTTGTGCACGAGCCAAAACAGATGTAGGAGTTTAAGAGGTTAATGTTAAAGTGATAAACTCCTCTCAGTAAAAGTTTCCTGTAAATGTAAAGGGCTCTCGTCCATGTGTGATGCCAAATCATTTCCAAACTAAGACCAGTTTCACTAAAGCTTAAACTCAACATTTTAGCATAAAGATGGTTATAATGATAAAGAACTGCTCATCTCGATTAAAATGTTGAGATTTTAATGTTTTTTGTTTTTTCTTGCTGGTTTAGAGTCCTTGTCCTTCCCAGAGTAGTTGAGCAAAGTGTTTTCTGACCTGTAGGAGAGAACAGGGGTGCAGATGATGATGATCCAGGACGACCCCATGCCCACCGGCGCCGACAAACCACTGAGAATCACCGGAGACCCCCTGAAAGTCCAGGCGAGTCTCCTCCAAACGGCTATATTTATAATATATATTTGGGGCGCAACTGCCTCTGGGAACAGCAGGTGCCACAGTGTTGTACCAAACTGTAGTGTCCTTGGGCAAGACACTTCCCCCACATTAGAATGAGTCTGGTGTGGTCGGAGCTTCTGTCAGTATGCCCCAGGGCAGCTGTGGCTACAGTTGGAGTTTAGTTTAGTATATTTAGTTAAAAGGGACCATGTACAACTAGAGCATAAATGTTTCCATTTGATGCATTGTACCAGAGTTAGCCTGAGGCTAACTCTGGTACAAGAGGCCATGGGGCTACTCCTGAGGAGTAAATGAGTGACACCTGAAGCGTCTGAGTGTCCAGAAAAGCTCTGTATGAATGTTTGACAATGAGACTGTCCATAATCGAAAACCCGTGGCCTCATTATCACCTCCCTCGGCGTACAGTGGGGAAAAAAAGTATTCAGTCATCAAGTTCTCCCACCTAATTATTATTTTTGCACCATTGTATATCAGCGGCCGCTTCACTCTGTCTCTGCTTCTACTTCTCAATAATTAAATAATCCAGTATTTATGACTTATTTTTTCTGCCATAATCTACAAACCCAATCCATGGGTCCAGTTTCATGAATCAGTTTTGCTGATTTAAATGAGATTATGTTCTTGATTACCTGTCTGTGATGGCAGACGGTAATTATCATATTTTCCTCCCTCTGGTGGTAGCAAAGGGAGTTACAGGCGAAAACTGGTGAAACACCACTTGTTTCACCATATTTTCTACTGAACATTTCACATTCTAAAACATGAAGTTACGTGGTTTTCAGTGACAAACAATGGATGCGTATTATTTAAATGTATTTTGTTTTACAGCAAGCTCGTGAACTGGTGGCGAAGCTCATCAGAGATAAAGACCAGGTGGAGTTCAGGTCCAGCCGAGGAGACAACGGATACAAGAGCAGCGGCACCTCCCTCGATGTGAGATGTGGTAGCGGCTTATTTGAAACGATGAAAATAAAGAGGGGAGAGTGGGGGGAGAGGGTGAGAGTGGGACGAGAGTGGGAGAGTGGGACGGGGGAAAAATATTTATCTGAGAATTCAGTCTTTTACAAAGTTCATATTTATTGCTTCTGTCGCAGATGGCTGTTCCCAGATTCGCTGTTGGGATAATTATTGGCAGAAATGGAGAAATGATCAAAAAGATTCAGAACGACGCTGGTGTCCGGATTCAGTTCAAACAAGGTGAGCGGGAGGTGACGCCGGCCTCTCTCGTAGTAACCGTAGTAAATGTTGGTCTTTTTGCAGATGATGGAATAAGTCCTGAACGAGTGGCTCAAGTGATGGGGCCGCCCGAGAACTGCCACCACGCTGTGCACCTCATCAACGAACTGGTTCAGACGGCTCAGGTACGGGCCCCGCCTCAGTCTGGGCCCCGCACCAGTCTGGGCCCCGCCTCTGCTCATGCTCATTGGTGTTTAACATATTGTCAGAATGTGAAGAAAATAAATGGTTTAAAAATCGAAATATGCTAGAGATGAACTTTCGGCCCACGACCACAAAGAGATAGAACCCCTTAAAATCAGTGGTATCAGCGGTAAAATCAATAAATGTATTAAATGACTTGGACCGTACGCACGCTCTGATTGGCTGACTTGCGGTCTGATATTTTCCCATCTCGGACCGTTTCCATGACAATTGGTCCGCAGCGCGTATCAGATTTGATATCTTTCCTCGGTAAAAAATAAATAATGAGCGACTGGGAGCATTCAGTTAATTCTATTATCCGTACGAGTTGGAAGAGCCAGAAGTAATAACAGCAAATAACGACAAAAACACAACTAACAGTCAAGAAGAGACTTGACAACTTCGTTACAGACCAGGAAGGTAAAAATAGGGCTGGGACTCAATTAAACATTTTTTAGTCCAATTAGAGGCTTTGTGATTAATTAATCGCGTTTCAATCGCACATAAATGTTTGTCCTGAGAACAGTAAGAAGTTATTTTTTTTACATGGATTTTTAGTTTACCATTGAATGACTGAATACATAAACTTAGACAACACATTTTCATTGAGGATAAGGGGAGCAGACTGACTTCTTTCCATCAAATAACTTCTCTGTTATCGCCTCCACACACTGACGCCACTGCACTAACAGTGAGCACTAGGGCTTTGACTTCGAAATCCAATATTCGAATATAATTTGAATATTAAAAAAAAATATATATATATATAATTCGAACGAATATTAGACAGCCCTTAATATTCTAAATGTATTTAATGACTGCAAATAAAATAAATAGCTCCCAAAGGTGTCGCTGTGATGTGGCTAGGCCATGGATCTATTGTGCTAGATAACAGCTAAGCTAGCTAGTTCAAAAACTCTGGAATTACATGAAAACTGAACAAAGAATTCTGAACATCAGCGGTGAGTTACCCATTTATATACCCAACCTATATCCATAATCATTTATATACCCAACCAAATCCATAATCATTTATATACCCAACCTATATCCATAATTTATATATCCATAATCATTTATATACCCAACCAAATCCATTATTTATATACCCAACCAAATCCATAATCATTTATATACCCAACCTATATCCATAATCATTTATATACCCAACCTATATCCATAATCAGATCTTCTGCAAATGTGTCCTAAAATGTCCGTTTCATGTGAATGGTTACTTCGGGCCTGTCTGCACAGACCATAATAGATCCATGGCACAGACACAAGTATTGACAGGCGCCTGCTGAAAGCCCGTTGTACTCGCTGAACAATGTTAGGAGCTGTTTAGTAAATTATTATTCAATATTCAAATGTTTAAATTATTAAACAAACAAACTTTGAATATGATTTTGTACAAAAGTCAAAGCCCTAGTGAGCACTAAAGCTTATACGTTTTTGATGTGTGCATTCGAACTAAAACATCAGCAATAGCAGCTCACACACCTGTGTTGCTGCTGCTCCTCCTCCTCACACACCTGTGTTGCTGCTCCTCTTCCTCCTCACACACCTGTGTTGCTGCTGCTCCTCTTCCTCCTCACACACCTGTGTTGCTGCTCCTCTTCCTCCTCACACACCTGTGTTGCTGCTCCTCCTCCTCACACACAGGAGTCCATAGCTCCATAAACAGCGCTCTTTCCCGTCTCTAACTCACTCACTCACTACTCAGACCGCTAAAGTTGGTCTGTGCTTGTTATAATGTACTTTTGAACAAGAAGTCACGGAGCTCAGTTAGTGCGCCAGGATAATCGGTCCGTCTGAAACATATCCTCCAGTGAGGAACGTTCTGCGGTTCACATGCAATTAAATGCGTTAATTTTTTTTACGCACTAATTTTTGTGCCGTTAATTAATACAATACAATACAATTTATTCTTGTATAGCCCTAGGTCACAACAGAAGTCATCTCAGAGGACTTAACAAACCATTGAAATCACCAACACAGGTCAGAGAATCAACAGTTAAAACACATGGAGAATATAAAGCACACACAGAAGAAAATGTCCATACATGTTGTAGAATGCTAAAGTGTCCTGATCATCACCAATCCTTTCTGTTGGACACTAACTGTCCAACAAGACCCTCCTGCATCGACAAGGAAAAACTCTTAAAAAACCCCAGTGGGAAAAAGTGAGAAACCTTGGGGAGCACTAGGGAAACCCACAGGGAGGGAGACCCATATGAGAAAGGGATCCGCTCCTCCGGACGGACAGGCTAATGATCTAGGACCTAAGCTAGCTACAGGACGTGGACCAGTGGCCGCTTAACGTGGACAGGTCCGGTGCAGGACCGAAGCACTCCCAAGCGGGTCGGGCGGGGCAGTCCGCAGGTGCAGATGGAGGAGGCCAGGCTCAGAGATCCCGTCATCGTACCATGAAACCGACAATGGGACAACGGGTGAATAGCAATGAACAAACTACAGTCAGAATCCTAAAAGTGCTAAACAGATAAAGTAGGAAGGAGGAGAGGATAGTGCTCAAGTTACCATACTTCTCCCAGCAAACTGACTCCCTATGCAGCTTGACTGACACTCTGAGGAGTTTAGCCTTCCCCGAGTCTTACCTTCCTAACCATATGCTAAACTAAAGAGGACTGTTTTAAACCTAGCCTTGAATAAAGAGATTCATGGATTGCACACCAGGTGTGCAAACCGATCCAAGCAAACCTAATTATATATTATATATCATATACATCATATATACCATACATACCATATATATCATATATAATACACAACATAACATACAGCATAATATATAACATAATATACAACATAATACAATACATTATTGTATAATATATAACATATACACCATATATTATATATTACCTAATTATATGCTAAATTAAAGTAAAGTGCTTTAAGCCTGGCCTTGAATGTGGAGACCGTATCTGCTTCCTTAACATAAATGGGAAGCTGATTCCACAGTAAAGGAGCTTGGTAGCTAAATGCTCTGCCACCAACAGTGATTTTTGAGACCTTTGGGACTACCAGACCTCTGGCGTTTTGTGAGCGCAACGCTCGACTTGGTTGATACGACACTAACGTGTCTTGGAGATAAGGAGCCTAGCCATTTATGGCTTTATATGTTAAGAGAAGGATTTTAAATTTTATTCTGTACTCCACAGGGAGCCAGTGGAGTGATTTTAACACCGAAGTTATGTGCTCCCTCCTTAATCGTAATTAACGCATTAAAGTCCCGGCCCTAGTAAAAACACGATTGGTCCATAGGAAGAGACAAATGCCCATGAGTGTTGGTAAATGTCACATGTAGAATATTTGTGTGCTGGATCATCGCAGTCCTTGTTTGACACTGACTCCTGCATCAGAGGAAAAACTCTAAAACCCAGGACTCAGACTGTAGAACGCAGGCTGTGGCTGTAGATCCAGGACTCAGACTGTAGAACGAGGACCCAGGCCACGCGGCTCAGGACTCAGGTTGTAGAACGTGGACAGGTCCGGTGCAGGACTGAAGCAGCTCCAGGCGGGTCGGGCAGGGCAGTCCTCATGTGTAGATGGAGGAGGCCAGGCTCAGAGGTCCCGTCATTGCGCAATGAAACGGACAATGGGTGAATAGCAATGAACAGAATACAGTCAAAATAATCCAGGCAAAGTAGGAGTGAGGAGATGTCAGAATGCTCCTGATCTTCTCACAAATTACCTCAAACTGACAAATGTTCATGAATCTCTGACCATGATCATGTTAACAAAGGTCTAGAGAGGAGCATCAAACCCTGACTCTGCTGTAGCCCTGTCTGGACGGCTCTACTGTGGCCTGCGGTAAAACCGTGAACAGGGAAATTTGGTTGATTATTGAATCATTTGTAAACTAGTTCAGTGACTTTTTTTACCTTAGAATGATCCAAGTGTGGGTTTGAGACGTCTCACATGTTTGAGAACTAGTTACACAATATTTTGAATATTTTTTTATGTCCGCAGACCTTTTTGTTTTTAGTGTAAAATAAATGTCCTCACAAGGCATTGAGATCATAATCACAGAACATTAAAGAGTTTAGCTGAATCCAACTGAAGGATTGTATCTACACAGAACCAGTGATGGGAATAACGGCGTTACTAGTAACGCCGTTACTAACGCCGTTACTTTTTTCAGTAACGAGTAATCTAACTAATTACTTTGACAGTAACTATAACGCCGTTATCATTTACGACATCCCGTTACTGCGCGTTACTCAAGACGCACAATGAACGTGTTGTCATGAGAGAAGGGAGGATGAGAAAACCTCTCAGCAATTATTGGCTGATGTAAATCATATTTCCTTTACAATCCACATGTCTACAGTTGAGAGGATGGCTCATAAATTGTGTTTTTGAAACAAATATGGGTCTTAATCGCGCTCAACCACGGCTTGTATCACCGTCAGGTCAGCCACAGAGTAGCGCATGTGAGCGCAGAAGTCGGCTGCATACAATTCCATCGATATGCTCCTTGCTCTTCCTGGTTTATCTGCTAAGGACAGCAACAGGTTTGGCTAACATACATATAACACATATTTACATAATCTAAAATGCACATAGGGTAATTTTTCAATTACTATAAGAATGATACGAAAGAGAGGTGAAGTGTAAGACGGTTGATTTTAGAAATTGGATGCACTCGGCTGCCGCTAGCAAAACACAGGAGTTTATGGAGGACCCACGCCTTTTTGTTTTACTTTTTAAAACTCATTGGACTCATTTCCAAATGGAGGATTACATATCTACGCTCAAACCATTAACTGGATTTAAACAAGGAACTGGTCTGAACCGAAGTGGACTGTGCAGGTCATTTATAAGGTATAGCTATAAGGTAAGACCCATAACTCATAGTTTTGCGTTTTGTATGAACAAACAATGCGGGCATAAAACATATTTTGCTGTAGCCAAACAAATTGTCCACTTGATTTATATGATGTATATGTTCATCTGATTGGACTGAAGTCAGTGCTTCACCAGCCTCACCGCTCGTCACCGGTGTTTCCACATTCACAGTGGCGGGTGTTGGTGTTTAGTGCTTAGTGCACAGTGAGAGATGAAGAGTGAACAGGACTTCAGCAGCAAAACAGCCTTTTCTAGATGGAAATATTGGCACTGTTAAAGGTAAAAATGCGCACGTCGGGTGCAGATTATGTTCCAGAACAAAACGAAAAAGTAACGCAATAGTTACTTTTACTGGTAACTAGTTACTTTTATAGTGGAGTAACTCCGTTAGTAACTCAGTTACTTTTTGGGAGAAGTAACTAGTAACTATAACTAATTACTTTTTCAAAGTAACGTGCCCAACACTGCACAGAACTGTTTTAATACTTTATTGATCCCCGTTGGAGAAATGCAGCAAAAATAAGGACCTGGATTTCAAAATTGTCATGTTTTTTTGTTCTCATCTTGCTAACTGTTTAAACTGATAACTTGTGAAAAGTAAAGCACTTTCATGATCTTGCATTAACAATGAAGCTGTTTTTGCTTGCACATCTATTCCAATGTGGTTTTACTGCAGATGAAATGTATCTGTTTCAGGAGAGAGATGGCTTTGGAGGCATGACCGGGCGCCGCAGCCGATCAGACTGTAGCTCCGGTGGCGTTGGCGGTTTGCAGGAAGTGACTTACGCCGTACCTGCCGACAAGTGCGGCCTTGTCATCGGAAAAGGTTATTTTAACACTTGCATTTCTGTGCCTGGTCCTGTTTGCTCAGCCTCTGCGTGAAACTGATGAGAAGCCCGGGGGGAGAGTGACCACCCTCTGCCCCCCTCCAGGCCTCATGTATACAGGACAAGTGGCATTCATTGGCTTCACTAAGGGCTTAATGACGGGGATAATGCGTGTAATGTGACATTAATTGTTAAAGGTGCATAATAACAGCTCTCAATCATGTGGAAGGCTGCCTGGCATCTAATGAGCCCCTTTCAGCTCAATGGAGTGCGGCGAGGATATGAATAGAAGGAATTGGCTTATTGGCTATTCATGCCCACTCTATTGCCAGCTATTTAAAAGTCATTGACCATTGCATTGGAAGGCGACGCAACTCTGGTGTGTGTGTTGCTCTCTGTGTGTGTGTGCGTGTGCGCGTGTGGGCGGGGTCACATGGGCCTCTTTACCTAAGATAAAAACATGGCAATAGAAATGTCAAGTGGCTTTTGTGCTTGTAGTGCGGCGAGGGAAACAAATAAACCTGGGCGTCGCGTCCCCTCTCGGTCATTAGCATATGAAGTGAGCCAATATGGTGCGGATGGCGGTGGGTCTGGGCCCTGTCACAGCCCTCTTAAGGAGCGCCGTGATTAATATCTTTACGATGCCATATGCAGCCCAGTGCCCCTCCACACTGACCTCGCAGCTACATGAGGCAGCCACCCACAAACCTGCGGACAGCTCACTGCACTGAATACTAATTATGTGAGGATTAAGTGAAAACTTTTAAAACCGTTTGACATGAGAACAGATGCCAAGTCTGATAAACGTGCCCATAGCTGGTACTTAAATCAAACACAAGATCAACTTTTGATCTCACATGGAGAAATGTACAGGTCACATTGGCACAGATGGAATCACTCGGAGACAGAAGTGTGCAACATGTAAACTCAAAGTGCTGCACAAAACCAAACGATCACACGAGGCATTAAAATATAATCATAGAATTTATATATATATATATATATATATAATTTCATTAGGAGTGAAAACATTTTCATTCAGTTGTAAGCAGCTAAACTGTTTTGAACCTGGATTTGAACAGAAGCCTCACATTTTCAGACTTTATTCAGAATGAAGAGTACTTACCGATACGAGTACTGCACATACACTAAATATTACTGCGTCGTTATCTCTGGGAATTCATAAAACTGATACAACTGAAATCTCATTTCTCCAATAAGAAAATGCTAAAAGAATAGGCCACTGTCATTCTACTCTTACAAATAAATGGCTCCGGTGCAAATATCTGGATGAGAACATTTACAGTTTCCATGTTTGACCTGAGAACAGTGGGAAGTAATATTGTTCACATGTATTTTTAGTAAACCATTGAATAATGATGAATGTTGTTTATTTTTGTTAAAGTCCAACAGACCTGTGCAATTTTTGCCATTAAGTTGTTTTGTCAGCTCCATAAAGTTTTCTCTGAAGGACCCCACTGCGCACTTAGCTGCCCTTGTGCCTGCCTGCTTAAAAATCTTTTGGTCAAAATTTGTCATACTTGCAATAATGTACTTTTGAACAAAAAAGTCACGGAGCTCCAGTTGGTGCTCCAGTACAATAGGTCCGTCAACCTCATCCAGTGACGAGCGTTCCGCGGTGCAAAAATAAATACGATGAAATGCTTTTTTTTTTTTTTAACCCGCTAATTTTTCTAATTTATCTTTATTAACTCACTGACTGCCAGGCATTTTCCGATTTGAGAAGTGCGTTCTGCCAGCGTTTTCAGGGGATCTGACCCAACTTTGAAGAGCCACAGAATAGTCATTTTTTAGATTGTCAACACCAAGGGCACCAAATTAAAGGTTAATGTCTCTGCTTTGCTCTGAAAAAAAAGTTTGTTTCTACCTTTTACTGTTCTTGCACTATCTGCCATAGAACATGGCATACTTTCACCCATAACACCTGGTCTGAGCAAGAAAACAGAACGAGCTGTATGTAAACCGGAAAATATCAAGCAGAAAAGTTACTTTTAGGTGCATTTTTTTTTTTTTTTGCTTTAGTGACACCTTAAACATCTTCACACTCGTTCCCTTATATAAATGATAAAAACATGACTCTGAAAAAATACTTTTGATGGCAAATTGTTGGCAATTTATTAAGATACAATTCTTCTATACCATCAACAAACTTCAAACAACACAAATCAATAAAACTATAAATGTATAAAATAGAACAAAGTGTGGTGTAAGGCGCACCACTTGTTGGTCTCCCTGCGAAGACCCCTCCTGAAACAGACCCGACATCTTCCGGTCGGTCTCTCCTTATTGCTGGTGGCCATCAGGTGTTCCATTTTGTGCCTCCTTAGTTGCCCATCCAGCCGGCACTCTGGGTCAACCATAGGACCCCTGGCGTTGAGTGGTCCCAAGACAGCCCCCACAACAGCAGCACTCTCCTCGTCTCCTCCTGCCTCCTTGATGTCCATGACCTTGAAACACTCTTGAGGAACTGTAGGAGGTGTTTGCACTCTCCTCTGGGGTGTCTGGCTCTATAGACAACAAAAGCATTGAACATTGCCAGCTGGATAAGATAGGCCACGAATTTCTTTGACCAATTTGTGGACCGTCTGATGAATGGATAGTAGGCCATGTTTTGGTCCAACTTATCCACTCCGTTCATGCACTTGTTGTACGTCACAACACATGCTGGCTTCCACTGAGGCACCTTCTGCTTCTCTCCCTTCTGCCACACTTCCACCTTCTCCATTGTGTTATGGTGACAGGTCGTCACCATTTTCACCAGTCTTTTATCCTGCCACGCCACCACCATCACCTTCCTGTTGTGTCTGACAATCCTGTCTCCAACCTGCCTTTTTGTGACCTTTTTATTAATTTTGGTTCACCTCTGTTCTTCCTTAGTGTTCCACACACACTTGTGTTTTTCCTCAGTAAATGTTCACTGAGTAAAACAGTTATAAAAATTGTCCATAAAAAGTGTGTGTCCTCGGCTTTGGAGACGACCCAGAAGAGAGAAGACTGTGTCCTTATGTAGCTTGTCCCAACATAAGGGGGCATATTGTGGCAGTAGCCTGTGGCTGAGTCACACAGAATATAGGACTTGATGCCATATTTCACTGGCTTTTGAGGGTTGTAGACCCTAAAAGCCAGACGCCACAGCATCATTCCCTCATTGATGCAGATGTTCTTCCCTGGACTGTACATGTCCTTGAATTTATTTACCAGGTAGTCCAAAACAGGGCGGACTTTGTACATTTTGTCACCTACATCATGTGACCTATTGTCATTGTAATGAAGAAACTTCCAGATGAGCTGGTACCTGGTATTTAATGCGTTAAAGTCCTGGCTCTAATAATTATAAAATAACTTTTCGGGGTATTTTTCATCTACTTAATCATCTCTGGCTGGGTAGCACAAGGGCCCTGTATTTGCTGGAGCTCTTTGGGACCTGAAGCTGGGAACAAAGGTTTTGTCAGAGGACCTAAAGTTAAACTTAGGCCCGACTCCACCAGCTGCGTTAAACTCACGTATCCGTCAAAACGTGTCAGTTTGTTTTCTCCCATGAGGGAGAATGGAAGTGGCTCCACTACCTGCGACATACGTCCATATGACGTAGGGAGCAGTGCGTCCACGCAGGGTGCAACAAACAAAATGGAAACGCAGAACCAGGGCTGCGCTGCTGAAGCCGCTGTGGCCACTGTTCCGTTTTACGCACGTCTGACGGCAGCAGCCTACGCGCCTAACCGGAGACGCGGCCGGTGGAGTCCGGCACTTACACTTATCTCAGGGCTTAGAGTTCCGTCGGGGTGACGGATTTCCATCGAAAGAAATTGGTCAGGAAAAAAAAAAGATACACACAATGAAATGGTTAATTAAAAAACTTGTTTATCTGTTATATATAATATGAATATAATTGTGTTTTTGTATATACATAAATAAAAAGTAATATAATCACTAGTGGCCACAGCTACTTGAGCGCTTTGCAAATGAGCCAAGGCACTGGGACTCTGACCTCACGCACAAATGACGCTGCCATATTCCCAATGCCAAATGGAGATGATACAAACTGGCCGTGTTTATAGATGAAAGGTAGGACATAATTATCTGGGAGTAATGAGAACTGTTTTGATTCGCCACCAGCTCGAAACTGCACGAGGCAGCTGTTGGTGCACTTTCCCAGACTTCATCTTTACCTGGTGCATCAGCGACAACTGAGACTAGGCTTGATATGGCGGACCGTGTCTGTGACCTAAAACTAAACTGGCTTTATCCCAGAAAATAACCTGTCGTTCTTAATATCACTACCGCTGTAGATTTAACCCTATATGCCCGCGTGCATCGGCGCCGATGCACGCGCACATGTTTTACAAATGATCAATTTACTCGCGAACGGTAAAACGTAGCAACTTACTTTTTTTTTCCTTTGTGAAGTACGTATTCAGGGCTTTCCGAAACTAGTTTTGATTTGTCTGTACAATGCACGTACGATAAACTACGTTTGTCTGAAAGTCCGTGTCCAAAGCGTGACCCGTGAGGTACAAACAGCTGTGAGATACAAACACACGGGGACTGCCAAAGATCGTCAGAGAGTGAGATCTCTCACTCCTCTGTCTGTACTTGTTCTCCCACAGTTGAAACTACAGCTGCGATTGCAATAACCGGCTGAAGAGTGCGCATTATTGATAAAGACGATAATAAATACAGTAAAATGACATGTGTATATGATGTATATAAATATATGTATTATATAAATAATTGATGTTTTTTTTTGTTTTTTGGCTCAGTTTCTTATGTTTTACGTTTTTTACAGCTGTACTACAGAAGCAACCCCAGCATTATAGACAAACTGCTTCAGGAAGGGCATCAGGAGTACAGAGTTTTTTGCTTTTATAGTGGAATTTTGTAAAAAGTATAATAGTTAGAGATTATATTTTTTCCCCATTATCCCCAAGATCATAAATAACATTTCTATGCAGTGTAAAAAGTTGTTTATAGCATTTCATTGTGTTTTTTCAATACATTTTTGTTAAATTGATTTTCCGTTTGATTTTGTCTTGACTTTGTCTTCATGATTCCACAATTTTTATATAATTCATATGACAGCTTTACAATATGAATATTCTAAAACCCCAGGTTGTACTGTATTGTACTTTTATGAACAATTATACACAAAGAAAACCAGGCGAGGAAAGTTCCCCAAAATGAACCATGTGCATAGAGGGTTAATGAAATCATTTTTTGCGGTTGATCGGAGTGCACTAGCCACCAACTTGATAGGGAAAACGTTTTCTTAAACATTGAGTTCACAAACAAATGGGGACAGAATTGAGCGTCCTTTTGCGATATTCTGACGAGGACAGAGCCAAAGTGTTGGCTCTCCATCTCGTCTCAAGTAAAGCCAATGTTGCGGATGAAACTTCTCTCACTAATATTCTGTCAAAAAGTTGACAAGTTCCGTGATCCACTTGTTGTAATTTCACATCAAAATACAGTTTAAATGTATATCTTTGAAGAATTAATTTGAACTCGTTCATTATACAATATATTGTAAATCAGTCATATGCAGGACTAAGTTATATACATTTCCATGAACATTTTCAAATCTTTTTTTTTTTTTTTTTTTTTTTTTGCTTTAACCCCTGATTTATCTAATAACTTTCATGTTGTCTATTGTGCGTCCTTGGTTTGTCCTGTAGTTATTCTTAGATAAGATAGATAATATCTATCTAAATACATCTATAGCTCTGGTACAGTTGTCTTTTTATAATTTGTTTGATGTGGTGTGATGTTTGTATTTTATGGACTTCGAGTCTCACAAATAAGATAATAATAGTATATAGTACAAAATTTCCACTTATTTACTGGCTTTAAAGTACATTTCAGGTCTGCTCAGATTCTCCAATAGCGTTCCACATAATGGATAAATAAAAGACTTTTCCCTCAGCGCCGTGCTGTGGGACTGCCCTGAATACAGTCACCAGTCGCCCCCTTTTCTCCAGAGCACTAAACCAGTCTCATTAATACAGCCTGTATTATCTGCCTCACTTCAGGCCAGTCCATGAAATGAATAGTCAGGGTCTTCATTGCTCTCTGCCGTCTGACTAGAAGAGCTCATAATGGCTTCATTAAGGCAGAAGTTTCATTTGGTTGACAATAGCGAACGGCTTGAGCAGAGTCTGTTGGTGGCAGGCGATGGTCCTGAGGAGGAGAGGGTTTGGATGAGCGTTTTCACTGCGGGGTCAGCGGAGGCCATTTAAGTGTCAAGCATAAGTGAACAAATGTGTAATTGATGTTGGGACAGCCCCAATGTCCCCCGGCTAAGCACCCTCGGCCTTTCTCCTCCTCATGGGCACTGGGGTTGTGGTCCCCCCCTCCTCCTCCCTCTGCACATCACAGAACAACACAAGAGTCAAGAATGAAAAGGCCAAAAGACACAAATGATATCCCAGAAGGAGGATACGCTTAAATTCGGCCCTTTCTCCCGATCACGATGCTCTGCTGGTGTAATTGCTTTGCATACATCTGGGTTTCAGAACGCGGCTGTGCAGAATGTCTTCTTTTGTTTCCTGATTTTCATGGATGTTAGCAGAGAATGGTGGATAAGAGGACGGACACATGCCAACATCTTCAGAGTGTAGCTGCTTTAGCAGTCAAGAAGCTACTTTTAGTGTTTTGTGTGCGCTGGTCTTGGATGTGCATTTCAAGTTTACTCACTGTGGGACAGATGAGGGTTCTTTTCTTATCTTTTCAGAAATTATACGGTTTTTGGTTCTTCTATTCGTGATGTTGTTACCATGACATGTTTCGACGGTATTCTTCAGTCTTCCTCAAGAGTGTCACGCTAACTTCCTATTGTCTAATATAGAAGTGAATACTTTACAAGATAAACCTTTCTATACTGATTAGGGTTTGCTTTTTTTTTTTTGCATTACTTTAGCATGTATCGGCTGCAGAGCTGCGAGGCCTTCTCATGATCAGTGTTTATATTTTACATTTCTGACATTGAGATATGACTGTTTTACTGAGGGAGTTGTTCTGAGTGTGATCATTGTTAAAACCTTAACCAATCACTGCGTCTGAAATCATCAGACTGTCCACACCACACAGACCTCCATATTGCTCCGTGCATAGAATCAGACTCTATTCACCCACACAACTCTCTGGAGGCAGGTGCTCTCTGGGGAACAGGAGCCCCACAGAGCACCTCTCTGAGCTGGAGGCCTCAGAGAGGTGAACACCTTAAAAACACATCCAGTACATTGTGTCTTGTATGTTTCAAATGTGATCTGTGTATGTGAAGGATTATGAAACCTTGGAAAGCTGATTGTAATGCTGTGAATGCATTATGCTAATGACTATCACACTATGCTAGGTGGAGAGACCATCAAAAACATCAAGGAGCAGTCCAGAGCTTATGTGGAGCTGCAGAGAAACCCTCCTCTCAACACAGACCCCAACATGCGCATCTTCTCCATCCGCGGGACGCCTCAGCAGTTGGAGAAGGCTCGTCAGCTGATCGATGAGAGGATTGGGGTAGGTGGTCCAGTCGTATTCATGAGCACATGTTCGCAAGGCAGGCTGCTGCGGCCGCTGCTGGTCAGCAGGGGTTAAACATGAAGAATCCATCAAATGGACTTAATGGAGTGCAACAGTGCCTGGCCCTGCCCTTTGACATTGCCTCTTGGCTTCTTTTAAGCACAAGTGTGGTCTGTAAATGGTGTCGTCCTTCTGCTTCAGGGCCCGGGGATCGGGGGAAACGGCAGCTTCAGTGTGAGCTCCTTTAACCAAGGCCCGTCCACTCCACCACAACAGTGAGTCATTAAGCCTGTCTCAGGAATGACTTCATCAACTCTGTCTCTGATAACAAGCTTCTCCTTCTGTGGCCTCTCGCTTTTTACATATATGTATATGAGAATGTATGATGTAGGGCTGGGTAGGGCTGGGCGATTAATCGATTTTAATCATTAATTCGAGTTTTACGTTTAGGGCGATTTATTTATTTTTTTTATTCGATTTTTATTTTCTCCAGCGCAGAACTACAGCACTAACGCGCTAACCGCGGGTCTATGGTGTTGAGCAGTCATTTTGAAGCTAACCTAATGCTAACAGTCTCCCTCTGGCCTGATGCTCGCTCTCACAGTTGGTGCTGTTGCAATAACACTTCAAACGTTCAAGAATCAGACTTTATGTAATCGCCAGAACACACACACACACGCACGCAGGCTCCGGTCGCTATGTTCGTACGCCTTGTTCGTACGCCACATCTTTCACGCTCGTTATTCCAAAGCGCACTCTCGTGTTCCACTGAGCCGCTGCACTTTGGGGAAAGACACGTCTCACACATTGCTCTCATTGCTCTGATACAAACAACGTGTTCCCCGCTGTCTGTTAGCTACAGTAGCTGTAGATGCTACAGTAGCTGTTAGCTACAGTAGCTGCTACAGTAGCTGTTAGCTACAGCATCAGAATGTAAACAGGAAGCTCGCACAATGCGGGAGTCACTGAAGTTAGTATTAGCGCCACCAGCTGGACCGAGCGTTGTACTACAGCACAGTTACTCAGGCACAGTTGAAAGAACAAGCATGAAAACCCGAGGAGGCTTTTGGAAAAGACTGTCTGTTACAACATTTCTATTTTGAGTAATCAGTTTTAAAAATGTGATATTTCATGTAAATAATGCATGTGTTTAATAGGATTGATATATTTGCGATGGGCCTTGTTTGTGTGATTTAAGTTATTTTGAAGGTGCATAGTGTCATTGTAAGTGAAGTTATTATAAAACTGTTAAGCTACATTTTCACTGTTTACAATGGCAGAGCCATCTCGTTTACAAGCATGTTTTAAGGCTTAATTCCTGTTACACTTATGCTCCATGGGGATTTAGATTAAACTGCATAAAGGAAAATCTATTTCTTTGTCAGTTGTAGTTTGTTTTTAAATAGAAAAAAATAAATCGATTAAAATCGAAAATCGGATTTGGTGTGAAAAAATCGGAGATTTTTTTTTTTGCCATATTGCCCAGCCCTAGGGCTGGGCAATAAATCGGAAGGATATAGTGACAGTTCCTGGGGTACATGAATTATTCTTATATCAGCAAAGTCTGTACTAGACTTGGATAATACGTATTGTGGGAAACAAACTAAAAATAGTTTTGAAACTTAAAAATGGAGCGGAAAGATCAAATTATATATATAGCGCTGGGAGATGTGGCAAAAAAATTAAATCTTAAATTTCATTTCCTGCTTTGGACGATTTCAATTTTAATTAGATTTTCATTAAAGTCACAAAGACAGACTTTGCCCTTTAAAAATATTATTTGATCTTTCCGCTCCATTTTTAAGTTTCAAAACTATTTTTAGTTTGTTTCCCACAATACGTATTATCCAAGTCTAGTACTCATATATATATTTTATATATATTAAAAAAATATATATATTTACAATTAGGGCTGTCAAAATTATTGCGTTAATTACCATTTTAATTAACGCGTTAAAAAAAATAATTAACGCATTAGCTGCCATTGACGTGTTAACACGTGAATTGCGTTTCCCGCTATTTTCACGTTCCCAGATGTCTATTGGATCAAATATGTAAGGCTTGAGGCAGTATTTTATCGAGCCAGCAGATGGCAGCATTGCTCTATGAATGGTTTGAAAACGGCTAGCTGCACATGTGCCTCTTTTTTCTCAGCTTTCTGTTGATTTCAATAAAACTTACCTCTACTCGACAGGGGCTTACAGGGGAACGAAACAAGCTAGAAACAAAATTATTTTTGCTGATGAAAGTAGACAGTCCATTCTTTCAGAATCTGGTTTTGGATTTCAGATAGTCATAGTAAGTAAAAATCATTAGAAACGGCTGACAATATGGGAGTACCTAGTCAATCGCATGTCCGAATGACCCGTCCATTTATAATATCACTCAATGCCGCGGACACGTGCGTGTGTGATGGTGACAGCGGTAACGTGGTCATATAATACACGCATATATATACACGCACAGGGGCCATTCTCTGATGTTGTGTGACACACGGAGGAGAGGAGGAGACACGCTGAAATGCAACCAAATTCGCAAAATTAAAGCTGGGGTACCTACATTTTCCCTTTCAGTACATTTGGTATGAATAACAATGTGTCATTACATTTGAAAATCATTTAACTTCAATTGGAGTGGATTTGAAATAGAATGTAAAAAATGTGATTAATCGTGAGTTAACCCTTTAAGCGCCAGTGTCTCAATATTGCGACAAGCAACATTGCTCACTTAAACAGGCTGTATCTAAAAATGTGGTGCAGAATCTTGTTAATACTTTTGACCAGGGGTTAGTGGACATGTGTGCCTGTAATATAAGCAACATTTGTGGGTGTGGTTATATTGAAAGTTTTTGAGTAAATTGAGTTCGTAAAACACCTGCGGCGCTGCAGCGCGGAGGCGAAGCAGCAGCGGTAGAGCTGAGAGGAGCGAGAGCAGAGCTGAGGGAGAGTGTTTATTTTACTCATGAGGTCTTCAGTTCCAGAAAAGTACTTGGTCTGGTACTGGCTCACTCAGATTCAGAGGAAGAAGACACGCAGGTGTCCAGTGAAGCAGACACGGACATTATTGGTGACGGGGAGACCGCGCTCCATAGTCCACAATCAGCCCCTGTACAGCGGCTGCTTGTCCTCCGTGTGGCCGCGGTAGAGGCATTCTGTGAACACCAAGCAGGGGCCGTGGTGGAGGGGACAGGGGGATCATAACACTGGGCATGTGGCAGAAAATAGCGGGGGTAGACATCCACGGGGAACGCGGGAGAAGTCGCGGGGGAGCCGCGGGAAAAAAACAAATCGCTAATCGCGTTCACTGCCTTTACCACAACAGCTATGATGAGGATCAAGGCAGTTCTTGAGAGAAAATAATCCACAAAAGTGGATCAGAAGTGTTGAAGAGCCTGTTTCTTGTTGAGACGATCTGACATGTTCTGAGCCCTTTCATTTCATCTCTCCGTTTCTAAATGATAAATCCTGGAGCCTCATTTCCACTGAGAAAAATAGTAAGCCCACCACTTCTTTGAAAGGGAAATATTGAAACCAATCTCCAGATTTAATGACTGTAAACTATAAAGAGTGCTGTCTTGATCACTGAAGGTCTTTGAAAATAATACAATTCCATATGGCGCGAACCAGTGCTAAAACATTATAATCTGGATCAGGGAATTTATTTCTATCCCAAATTCACATTTACTGTTGATAGTATTCCCTGATCTCAAAAAACTCCCAAGCTACAGCTTTTTGAAGTCTTTATACAATAATTCACATTTTCCAAAATGGCCGCCACCTTGATGACGTCACAATATGCAAATTAGATGACGAATCAACTTCCATCCCAAAGTGTTGTTCAGACTGAAGATATTTCTAATTTACAGTATGCCTTTATCTCAAACCATTTTAAAGTTATAGGCTTTTGAAATCTTTAAATCAAAATTGTATATTTTCTTGAAAAAACTGACGCCTAAAAGGGTTAACTCATCATTACTATGCGATTAATCAACTAAAAAAAATGTATAGTTTGACAGCCATATATATATTATAAAATTACAAAATTACACACTATCATAACGTGACATTTTTAAATGTCCGCTCTGATTAGTTTTTTTAGATTAGGACTACTGGTTTCTCTCTCTCTGGTCTCTCTCTCTGGTTTCTCGCTCTCTCTCGAGTTCAGGTGGTTAGAAAAGTGTGAGGGTTTTACTGCCTTACAGCTAATTTACTTAAAGGATTTCTCTAATTGCAGGTTATTTTTGAACATAAAACTTTGCGATAAACTCTGCAGTAAATTGTGTACAGTGGAACAATCATTTTTGTCTGAATCATCGTCCACTTAGTCAGTAAATTGTGCTGCAGGGTCGGTCTTTGGTTGTTTCTGTCCTTACATTTACTGATGCGGTCTCCTTCTCCAGTGGCCCTCAGAGCTTCCTGACCGGACGATGGGGGACTTCGTTTCAGATGTGGCAGCCTCAGGGCCAGCAGGAGCAGAGTGAGTCTCACTAATGCTTCATGGTTTGTGTGGCTTTAACCAGAGGGTGCCGTGTCACCTGGTCAGAGAGAGGACTACTTTAACCCATAACACAAATGAGAAAAACCTAAAGTCGCTGTGTAGAAAGTTTCCAGGATTTTGGCTTCTTTGTTTGCATGTTCTCCTGGTGTTTGCATGGGTTAGATCTAAATATTAAGTGAGTTAATGTGTTGGACATGAATTGGACTTAGACCAAACCTGTAAACCGTGCGTGTGACCTCGGTCTGTGAAATGTGCTATATAGATAATCATTACTCGCTTTTACATTATTCAGATCACTCAATTTGTGCTAAAAATTGCTTGGAAAATATATAGGTTAAAATTTGGCCCCACTTGCCTAAAAAGACCTGACAAAAGTTCAACATCTGTCTAATAGTTCTCCAGCTGCAATCTTCCACATGTTTTATTATGAGCAGTAAGGTGTGAAACTATATTTTTAATGCACTTAAACTTCTGTCTGGTTTTTTTGATTTGTATTTGGAAAAAACAAAACCCTCCATGTGTTGTTTTTAAATTGTACATTTGAAAGAGTTTAAGTGGTCAAACTGTTTGTATGGCACTAAAAATTGCTCTGGCGTTTCCTAAAACTACTTCGTAAAGGACAAATTCAAACCTTTTTTAAATATATTTTCTCATGATACTGATCTGTCCATCCATTTTCTTCCCCTTAATCCATTTCTGGGTCGGGGGGGTGGCAGTCAGAGCTGCACCCAGTGCACATAGCACCAGCCCCTCACTGATCCTCCTGCAGGTGGTGAGTCCACAGGAGCTTGATACTGATCTGTTTTGGTTCAACCAAAATGATTTTGAACCAAAATGATACTGATCTGTTTTGGTTCAAATGTGTCTCAACGGCTGAAAACGAACAGGATCAATGTGATGGACGGAGAAAGCAGGTGGAAAAAGGCACCAACTCCCTTTTGACTTGTCTTTCAGGTCACAATGGCGCCCAGAGCGGACAGATGGACTGGGACCAGTATTATAAAAAGCTCGGCAAGTGTCACTCAGAGAATTAGCTGCACATTTGGTTCACATTTGGTTCACATTAACACGGTGATATATGTATTGTTTTGTACCCAACAAAGACACGCACTAATAATTTATGTCATGAATGAATCTGACAGCTTCTTTCACGGCGCCTGAATGAGACGTGTGGTCTTTAGAGACTGTGGAGCTATTCTTTGTCCCAGCGTAAATCAGAATGAACTCTTTAAGTCCGATGGTGTCAGAGTCTGAGGCCAAGCAAAAATGTTCACTTTTAAAACTGGTTTAAGTTGGTTTTAAACTGTTAGAATTAACAAATTATGTTTGTTTTACAGGTCAAAGTCAGCCTCAAAGCAGTCCTGAATACAAGGCTTGGGGTGAGTGAGGCTTTTTACCATAGAGAGGGGGTGAGGGAGCCAGAGAGAGGGGAGGAGGGAGCCAGAGAGAGAGGGGGGGCCCTATAACACTGCAGCCCTATAACAGCCCTATGACACTACAGCCCTATAGCGGCCCTATAACACTGCGGCCCTATGACACTGATCCTCACTGAGACCTTGCTGTTTATGTGACATACATATAAAGATGACTGACTGTTTTAAACTCTCCAGGACAGAGCAGCGGCGCCTCATCTCAGCCCAGCTCTGACTACAGCGCCTGGGTGGATATTTACCGTCAGCCGGTGTCCTTCTTCAATCAGGGAGCTCAGCCGACGGCAGGCCAGGTGCAGGTCCGACCCACCGACATGTGAGCCGTAGGTACCATCAAACCCAGCTTTAGTGGTTAAAAACGTCGCCCTAACGCTTAGTCGTGTCTGTGCGGCGGAAGGAGGAGCGTTCGTTGGCGGCGGAGACGCCGTGGGTTTTGTAACGGTTGTGGACTTTAAACGCCTTTGGTCTTTCTTAGCGCGACACTAGCTGTAGAATAATGAAGTAATATTTCTAAATAAATCAGGAACTTTTGTTTGTTACTAAATGCTTCTGTACACTGTTATTTTGAATAGACTGTAATGAGGATCCCTTTTGGACTTTTGTGTTGACACAGATTGTACTGCCAAAACCAACCAACTGTTGTAATGTTTCAAAAGGCAATAGAACGCCCCGTTTCCACCAACCCCACACGGCTTGGCTCGGCCTGGTTGCCCACGCTAATCAACCATTGAAATTCCTTGGTAACCAGAGGTTACCAAACTGTCTGTTGGAATGCTTCAGTACCAGCTTTAGCACCAGCTCTGCCAGGACAGAACCAGGACCAAGCAGAACCAAGCAGGAAAGGCAAGTTTATTGAATAGCACAGTTCATACACAAGGAAACACAAAAGGCATTAAAATCATAAACTATCAACGTACATTCAGAAAAGGTACTAAAAAAAAACGGTTTAAACGGGGCCAGTGGAAACTCCTCCAATCAGAGCCGAGGCGGGTAGAGCCGGGCTGGGGCTAGTGGAAACGGGGCTTGAATCTCGTTTTGTTTGCGACACTATGATCTGGTGCTTAGCAGTCTTGAATAACTAGGTGTTTTTCCGTCACGGTTCAGTGAGAACTGTTTGTTACAGATGTGTTTTTGTTACAAGGTTAAAGTCTGTGACCTTTAATTTAATTCTTGCGCATTGCTGTTTTTTCATTGTCATTTTATTGTTGTCTCGTTTAAAAACACGAAGGTGCAATATCTTCTTTCACTTTTGAAACAAAGACGCTTTCCTAATACTACGTTTTAACTTGTAGTTTTAACTTTTTTTTTTCTCCAAATGGAATTGATAATTTATTGCATTGGTCTGAGGATCAATGGGAATGTTGCATATAGCTTTGTTGCCTTGACGACCTTTTGTAAACTGTATATATGCTCATCTTTGACTGTTAATTTAAAATGTATTTTCCTGACGTCATAATCGCAGGGAATTTCCCGTTCTGTTTTTTCATACTGAAAAAGACCGAGAATGTTTTGAAATTGGATGTTGCATCTTTCTGAAGTTTGTTGTAAGTTTTCAAGACTGCTAAGCCTGTTCTGTGAGTAATGAGTATTTTGTTTTAAGTATTTCAGCGCCTCTTGGTTTGACGTCCGCAGTTCTCACATCATACTTTTAATTATTTAATTATTTTCATGGATCTAATATAACTGAGATGCGTTATGGAAATGTGATTATTAGTTCTACTTTTATTTGATTGAAAAAGGGATATTAATTTCTAACTGTGTAATCATGGTGTTTGTTTTCGTTTTCTAAACCATGGATTAAAAACATCAGACTCTAGTGTTCCTGTGTTTTCTTCTGTAAAAGTCTCTGATGGTTTCATAAACGTCTGACTCGGCTTTAATCTGGACCAGTCAGTGCCAACCCCCCCCTCTGGCCAGAGCGCTCTGCCACTGCCGCTCTCTGTGGAGAGTCGGTGGTCTCCGGGACCTGTCACTCTGACTGCTGCAGCTGTTCCTTCCTATGGTTTGAAGTTGTTACACCTGGTCCTGCTGGTGTGTGTCGGTCAGACTGATGCGGAGTCTAGACGTGTTGGGTTTGTAACGTTCATGCATCACGGCTCCTCCGTTAATCTGTTTTTAATGACAGTTTAGAGAAGGCCTGGGCCTCTCTCAGACCATGGTCCTCTCCTGCTGCCGCTCTCAGACCATGGTCCTCTCCTACACTGTAAAAAGTGATTAAATAAATGCTTAGTCACATCCTGACTGTGTAAAAACCATTTATTTCCTCATTCCAAAGGAGACGATTCTTTTATGAAATAAGATCATGATTTGGCAAAAGGACAAAACAAAATGTTTTAAGGCTCAGTCAAAATGAAGTAAAATTACGATACATTTGAGCAGTTTACTTTTTTTCTTCACTTTTTGCAGTGCAGCCTCTCACAGACCGCGGCCCCGTCATAATAGATCCATGCGCGGCCCCGTCATTATTATAGATCCATGCGCGGCCCCGACACTGGACTCTGCATCCCGTTCCTTAAACTGTTGTTAAAAAGTGCAGTTGTCTCAGACTGACAGCGTCCTGAGAAGCGGCCTCCCCGGAGCCGCGGAGGTTCTCAGGCCCGTCCGCGCCCCGTTCACGGCTCTGCTCCCGGAGGTTTGTCTTTGATTCTTTTGAAATAAACAATTACGACACTCTTTTGTGCAATAATTGTCAATCATCCTCATGAAATTGATAGGCTTTAAATGGACGGAATAATGGCCCAAATAGTTTTACAATAGGACTGTTAAGCTGACGATGTGCCGTGCGTGACGTGCCCGCGGCGTTACCAGCCCCGCACAAAGCCGCAGGTTAATTCATAAATGAGCAAATCAAATCCATGCGTTCCCCCAGTTCTCCTTTAATGCCCCCAGTTCTCCTTTAATGCCCCTTTAACACAGAGCGACCCGCCCCCTGCCTCAGCCATTTACCTCGGATTTGTGCAGTGAATGCCATAAATGTAAATCAATCTAGATGAGAAAGAATCCTATTCACGGCGAGCACAAGTTTCATCTGGGAACGGCCCGGACAGGGGGGGACCGGGGGAGACCGGGGGCGGACCGGGGGTGCACGGGGGGCGGGGCTTGCTCATAAAAAGCAGCTGTTTTGCAGTAATCTTTTTTCGTGCCCTGTCACTCACCTTTCCCTTCCTCTGTCTGTGCAGCGCTGCCACTTCACGCCTTTGTATTTTTTTTTTTTTTAAGTTTGCCAGATCTTCTTTCCCCCAATATCTACGTGCACGCTGCAGAGAAAGCGCGCACATGACGCAGGACGTGGGCGCGCATGAGAGTTGCACGGATGTCAAATGAAACCATGAAGGATTGATTTGCAGCAGCGTTCAGCTCCTTGACACCGCTGCGGAGGGAGCTGAATGGGAAACCTGTGGAATAAAGATGTTCTCTCTGCTGGAAGAGAAGGAACTGACCATTTAGCCCCAGTCCATCAAACCAGAAAAATGGGTAAGGCCAGAAAGAGGCCGCGCGCACGGAGAAGAAAGAGGCCGTATAGACTCATCTAAACGTCCCACAATACAGAGCCATGAATATTAAAGCTCTCACCTCTAACAAGTGAACCACGGCAGAGCAGCTTTGCATTTTTTGAGTGAACAAAGCTGGAAAACCACGCGGTGCTTGTTTCTATTCTTGTTATTCCCGCGCGAAGTCTTTACAAGAAATATTATTACCACCGCATGAATATAAATGTGCGCCTGAGAACCGGGCAGCGCGGCTCTCCCAGACCCATGACCCACTTAGGCCTGAGCGGGGCTAAAACTGAGAACACTTTAAATGTCAGAGATGCTCAAATCAATTATGTGTTTTTTGAAAAGCACTAAAATCACCTTTCAGGAGTTTTCTCAGGACTTTACAAAACTGCTGAAACAGATCAGAAAATCAGAACACACGGAAATGTAATGATTAAAAAACAATCAGACATTAGTTCATGGCAGATGACAATGTTCATAAATGTTTATAAATGTTCATAAATACAAACTCAGAATTGAATACAGACAATTCCAGATTTGTCTAATTATTTACAGTCTTGTGCAACATTTACATTATAATAAACGTACCTTATGTATTTTTTATGAAGGCCTGTTGCAGTATTAAGATCCCACTGTGGGGAAATGTCAGTGTTGCAGTGCACATGAGCAGCAAAACATGTGTAAGAGCCACAGGAGCACACCATAATAAATATTATCTTTATGTGTTTTAGCTGTAAATGCTTCAACAACAAAAATGTGTTGGTTTATTCTTCATCATTAGGATCTCGGTCCAAGTCCAGATCTGGTCCCACCAAGACTCACATTAAGAAAAGAAAAAATACAGTAATTTTTATGTGTTTCCTTAAAGAGTATTATTTATAGTTATTATAAAAACCCGGTGTAGCCTAAACTTTGGGGAAACATCTGGAAAAATTATCAGTTTGTTGATACGAATATTCTATTATCTTTTGTTTGCGACACAGTTTCTGTCATAACTGATTATCTGAATAATAATCTGATAATGTCATGTCTAATCTAATAATAATAATGATAATCTAAACCTCAAAGAGAAGACACTTTACAGTATATTTGTTATAAGTTCACACACTTAAGGAAACTCCAAGAAATAAAATCATAATCCCAGTAGAGTGAATACAATCCCATGCACAGTCTGAGTGTATGATACAGATGTGTCCAAACGCACACAGGTGGAGCCAGGGTCTAACCTTGCGGAGCGATGCGGAGCGGTGCGGGGGCAGGCCACACGGAGAGGGGTGTGTCATTAATAAGTCATTAGAACAGGGTCAGAGCCAGGCGTATAAAGGCAGAGGAGAGGAGCTTTGGCCTCACAGCAGCGGAGAGAGCGCAGCCAGAGAGAGAGAGGCACACACAGAGAGAGAGAGAGCGCTCAGCCAAAGAGAGAGTACAGTGCGTCCTCTCAGTCACTTCTCTGCAGACAGTGTTTGTGTTTCTTGCACCATGGGCTCCGTGTTACCCGCAGAACCCCTGAAGCCTGGATTTAAGTGTCCAGGGCGCGCTCTGTCGGACGTCATCACCTCCGACATCCTGCACAGCTTCCTCTACGGCCGCTGGAGGAACGTCCTGGGGGAACACCTGGGAGAGGACCGCAGGGAAAGCAGCCCCAGGACCGCCTTCACCGCGGAGGTGCTGGCCCAGTCCTTCGCTGGAGGTAACCGCGCTCTCTGATATAGTCAAGTCTCTAAGTCTATATCATAAAGTCTATAGTAAAGTCTATAGTAAAGTCTATAGTAAAGTCTATAGTAAAGTCTATAGTAATGTCTAGTATAGTAAAGTATGGACGTGCGCGCACCTGAGACCCTCACACGCACACGCACAGACATCACGTTCTTTCTGAAACATAGTCTTTATGTGTTTGTCATTATTGCATTTCATGTGTTGTTTGTTTTTCTGATCTGTTGTTGATTAATCCACAACTTTGTAAAGTCCTTCAAGACACTGCTGTTGTGATTTATGGCTGTACACACACACACACACACACACACACACACGTTGTCGCGTGAAGCCTATTTTAAAAAACGCAAAATAAAGTATTGGACGTTTTGAACGCAGCCTAAAACCGGAGAATCTTGTGGTATATTTAATTGTGGTTGTTTTTACGCAACATTACGCACGACTCACAAAATAAACCCTGTTCATGTTTTTTATTCGTCTAATTCTAATGAGGTATATTGGCACATTACTCCCGCGCGCTTGCAGGACGTGTCGCTGAACGTGGTGCACTTTGAGCCGTGGGTTTGGCGCAGACTTTCCCATCGGCCTCGCGCAGAGAGAGCACAGAGAGAGGAGTCCCTTTTCTTCACGCATTCATCAATCTCCGGACAGTCCCTTTTCCTCCCGTGGCATCTATGGGACTCAGAGCTTTTCTCTCTCTCTGTCCTTTCAGAGATGTGCTGTTCCAGGATAATGCGGCGTGAAGGCTAAACCTAATTCTATTCATGGCGTGTCAAGCATCTAATCGCCTTTCCATTTTTTTGTTGCAGAAATTCCTGAGCCTTTTTAAACAACTGCGCGTCTCTTTCAGGCTAAATTTATTGCTACAAAGTTCCTAAAAGGATAATGAATTTGGAATTAGCTGATTCTTTAGCAGTAAACTTTAATGAATATCACATCTGAAGCGTGACCGATCGGGCCTGAGCCGAGGAGCCGCGTTTCAAAGACGCGCACGGAAGAAAAAAAACCATCTTTGATTCTGACTTTAAAGACGCGCTGCCCCCGGTCCCTCCGCGGCCCCATCGTGAAAACGGAGAGCAATGGGTTTTGTGCTCGACTAAAACCCTCAATTCAACCAAGTAATCGAATTTAACGCTCAATATTTCGTGACTAAAATTCAAGACCCGTTTCATTGGGTTCTTTTTGTGTGTTTTTTGTAAATCACAGTCTTCTCGAGGCCTTTACAAAGTTGTGGATTTGGGAAAAAAAAAAAACAGATCAGAAAATCAAACACAGAAACACAATAAAAACAAACACAAAAAAATGGAGCACGGGCCATAAATGTTTATAAAAAGTCCTCAGACTCTCCCGCTCCTGAAGAACTGTTAAAATACAGATATACACACTTTTATATCCTAATGATTGTTGTTGTTATTATTGTTGTTGTTGTTGTTGTTGCAGAGGTGCAGAAGCTGTCCAGCCTGGTGCTGCCCACGGAGGTGATCATCGCGCAGAGCTCCATCCCGGGAGAAGGCCTCGGGATCTTCTCCAAGACCTGGATCAAAGCCGGGACCGAGATGGGCCCGTTCACCGGGAGGGTCCTGTCCCCGGAGCACGTGGACCTGCTGAAGAACAACAACCTGATGTGGGAGGTGAGCCGCGGGTCTCGAACCTATGATGGTCTCTGCTTCTGAACTTTTGGACTGAAACCTTCATCTTTGGGCCAATAATAAACTACAGACAAAAAACTGAAAGATTACAGTCAGGAAGTTTTATTTGCGGTCATCTTAGTCTTTGTCACAGAAAATAAATTCAAACAAACGCAAAAATAAAAAAGTCTCACATTTATTTACATGATTTGAAACAATTATTTTGGATCCATCTTTTTTTAACAGAAACATCAGACACATACAAAGTCTGCTCTGTTTCAGATCATTTACAATTTTAAAAACGTATTTTTGTATTATTTTTTTGTTATTTTATTTATGTATGTATTTCTCTGAGCAGTTTTTACGACTCGCCCCAAAGTCGATACAATCAGACTTTTCACAATAAAAATAAAGATAAATTAAAATCTCACGTTAAAAAAAAAAAAATCTTTCAGATGCTGCAGAAACAGTGTTTTTAACATTACCTTTGTCAAAATAATCTGTCTCACAGTTTCAGGAAGACTGTTCTATATAAATCTGAAACGCTGCCTTATGTTTAGTCCAAAGGAACGACACAGCTTTATCAAACATGAACTCTGTGGTGTCTGCGCGTACCTAAGTCTGAGGAGCACAGGGACTGGGGAGCACAGGGACTGGGGAGCACAGGGACTGAGGAGCATAGGGACTGAGGAGCACAGGGACTGGCCTCCTGCTGGTCTCAGAGTCAGGACTAAACCGAGGCAACATTTCAGATTCATGCAGCTACAATCTGGAACAGTCTTCCTGAGAATGTGAGACAGTTTGTGTAACAGTGTGTGTGTGTGTGTGTGTGTGTGTGTGTGTGTGTGTGTGTGTGTGTGTGTGTGTGTGTGACCTGTGCCATACTAATAAACTGGGCGCTGCAGGTGTTTAACGAGGACGGCACGGTGCGGTTCTTCATCGACGCTAGTGAGGAAGACCACCGCAGCTGGATGACCTACATCAAGTGCGCTCGCAACGAGCAGGAGCAAAATCTGGAGGTGCTGCAGGTCGGCAGCAGCATCTTCTACAGGGCTGTGGAGGTAGGAGAACATGCAACAACAATACCACTGGATTATGTGTGAGGAGGAGGAGGAGGAGCAAGGAAATGTCAGTGTTGCATCGCAGTCACAGAGCAGGAGCACGAGAGAAATGAAGAAGTCTGTTTTTAGTTTAGTCGATTGTTCTCCTCGTGCTCCTTGTTCTCCTGATCTCTGAGACTCAAAGGTTCAGGAGGATTTTCCAGAGAGAGACCAGAGGAACCAGAGAGGGACCAGTAAGAGACCAGAGAGGGACCAGAGAGAGACCAGAGAGAGACCAGAGAGGGACCAGAGAGAGACCAGAGGAACCAGAGAGACCAGAGAGAGACCAGAGAGAGACCAGAGAGGGACCAGAGAGGGACCAGAGAGAGACCAGAGAGAGACCAGAGAGGGACCAGAGAGAGACCAGAGAGAGACCAGAGAGAGACCAGAGAGAGACCAGAGAGAGACCAGAGAGAGACCAGAGAGAGACCAGAGAGAGACCAGAGAGAGACCAGAGAGAGACCAGAGAGGGAGACCAGAGAGGGAGACCAGAGAGGGAGACCAGAGAGGGAGACCACAGAGGGAGACCAGAGAGGGAGACCAGAGAGGGAGACCAGAGAGGGAGACCAGAGAGGGAGACCAGAGAGGGAGACCAGAGAGGGAGACCAGAGAGGGAGACCAGAGAGGGAGACCAGAGAGGGAGACCAGAGAGACCAGAGAGAGACCAGAGAGAGACCAGAGAGGGACCAGAGAGGGACCAGAGAGAGACCAGAGGAACCAGAGAGACCAGAGAGAGACCAGAGAGAGACCAGAGAGAGACCAGAGAGAGACCAGAGAGAGACCAGAGAGAGACCAGAGAGAGACCAGAGAGAGACCAGAGAGAGACCAGAGAGGGAGACCAGAGAGGGAGACCAGAGAGGGAGACCAGAGAGGGAGACCAGAGAGGGAGACCAGAGAGGGAGACCAGAGAGGGAGACCAGAGAGGGAGACCAGAGAGGGAGACCAGAGAGGGAGACCAGAGAGGGAGACCAGAGAGAGACCAGAGAGAGACCAGAGAGGGACCAGAGAGGGACCAGAGAGAGACCAGAGAGACCAGAGAGAGACCAGAGAGAGACCAGAGAGAGACCAGAGAGAGACCAGAGAGAGACCAGAGAGAGACCAGAGAGAGACCAGAGAGAGACCAGAGAGAGACCAGAGAGAGACCAGAGAGAGACCAGAGAGAGACCAGAGAGTGTAAATACCTGGAACAGCAGCTCCCTCTAGCGTCTGTTCAAACCTACTGCATGTTATTACCACATTTAAAGTTCATTAATTATTCTCGTTCCAGACGATTCCTCCCGACCAGGAGCTGCTCGTGTGGTACGGAAACAGCCAGAACACGTTCCTCGGGATCCCAGGGGTCCCGGGAACAGAAGAGGAGCCCCAGAAGAAGAGCAAACATGGTGAGTCCCTATGATCCGCTGTTCCAACTGTAAAACCAGATAAAGCATGTATTCATGTTTTAGTCCACGTACGGTATCACACACATTTGCACACAAGCACACACATGCAACGCACGCACACGCACACAAGCACACACACACACACACACACACACACACACACACACACACACACACATACACACACACACACACACACACACACACACACACACACACAGACACACACGACACGCACACGCGCGTGCACACACACACACACACACACCTCTTGGTCTGCTTCAGGCAATAGCTTTTAGTTTGGCTTTCCATCTTTCAACATAGATAATAATATAAATAATAATATAGATAATAATAATCTTGATAATAATCTTGATAATAATCTTGATAATAATCTTAATAATAATATTGATAATAATCTTGATAATAATATAGATAATAATATGACTTAAGTTTAAAGGGGACTATATAAAATGACCGTTGCTTCTTCTTCCAGACGAACACCCGTGTGAGGGCGCCTCCTGCTCGCCCTCGTCCACCTCCTCCGCCTCCTCCGCGGGCCGCATGCGCTGCGTCATCTGCCACCGTGGGTTCAACTCCCGCAGCAACCTTCGCTCGCACATGCGCATCCACACCCTGGACAAGCCTTTCGTCTGCCGCTTCTGCAACCGCCGCTTCAGCCAGTCCTCCACGCTCCGGAACCACGTCCGTCTGCACACCGGGGAGCGGCCCTACAAGTGCCACGTCTGCCAGAGCGCCTACTCGCAGCTGGCCGGGCTCCGGGCGCACCAGAAGAGCGCCCGCCACAAGCCGCAGGCGTCAGGCAACGACGGGGCCCCCCAGGGCCCCCCCACCCCCCCGCAGATGTCCCACCACCAGATGCCGCTCGTGCACCACATCCCCACGATGGTGTTGTAGCAGGAGGAGCGGGAGGAGCAGGAGCAGGAGGAGCAGGAGGAGCGGGAGGAGCGGGAGGAGCAGGAGGAGCAGGAGGAGCAGGAGGAGCAGACCCATGAACATGTTGCACTTTAGACGGAGGGGAGAATGTGGCTTTAACAGGGCGGAGTCAAACTGGGTCCAGAGGGTTTTCATTCCAACCAACCGTGTTCTTCTGCAACTTTATTTGTATGGCACAGTTCATTCACAAGGCCACTCAAGAACTCAGCAAAACAAGATCGCAGGGAATTATAAAAACACATGATCCCAGTAAAGAGGCCAGTCCCTGTGCTCCTCCGAGTCCCAGCAGGAGGTCATATGACACTAAAAGGTTTTTGACTAAACTGGTTGGACTGAAAACCTGAAGCCGCAGCTGCCCTGAGGCCCTGTGGGGCCTGGTGTGTCTGCCCGGGCTGAACATGAATAGACGTGTTATAAAGTTATTATAGAGGAATTGCTGTGATGTCACACGACCTGCTGTGATGTCACACGGTCTCCCTCTGACTCTGAAACGGCCACTTTAATCTTGTACAGAAAGTATAGAACCGTGTGTTCCAAAGTTATATTCATGTGAATGTAAATACCTTTGTGCTTTATATGAATAAATGAATAAATGAACCGGAGTCAGTGTGATTACATGTTTTACTATACTGATTTAAACCTTCATCTTGTTCACTTTGTGTCTGAAACAGTTCACGAGAGGCTTTACATTCATTCATTCATTCACTCACTCATTCAGGACTGAGGCTGCAGACCCAGGACTGAGGCTGTAGACCCAGGACTGAGGCTGTAGACCCAGGACTGAGGCTGTAGACCCAGGATTGAGGCTGCAGACCCAGGACTGAGGCTGCAGACCCAGGACTGCGGCTGTAAACCCAGGACTGAGGCTGTAGACCCAGGACTGAGGCTGTAGACCCAGGACTGAGGCTGTAGACCCAGGACTGAGGCTGTAGACCCAGGACTGAGGCTGTAGACCCAGGACTGAGGCTGTAGACCCAGGACTGAGGCTGTAGTGTACCATATGAAATGAATAAACACAGACCATGGGTTCCTAAACATTTATTTCCACTTGTGGGTTCATCAGACACAATCCTACTTCTTTGTGGGAAGTTTGAAGAAAAGCCATCATTTCAACAAGTGCAGAGTTAATTATTGAATGTTCTCTTCATCCCTGGACACAGACCACACGTCCGGCCCTGGAGATCACAAAACACCATCGTTACATTTCCTGTCTGTGTATGGTCCATTATGGTTCCTATGCCTCTGGTCTGTCGGTGTATGGTCTGTTATGGTTCCTACCTTTGCCTCTGGTCTGTCGGTGTATGGTCTGTTATGGTTCCTACCTTTGCCTCTGGTCTGTCTGTGTATGGTCCGTTATGGTTCCTACCTTTGCCTCTGGTCTGTCTGTGTATGGTCCGTTTTGGTTCCTACCTCTGCCCCTGGTCTGTCTGTGTATGGTCCGTTTTGGTTCCTACCTCTGCCTCTGGTCTCTCTGTGTATGGTCCGTTATGGTTCATGTGTATGGTCTGTTATGGTTCCTACCTTTGCCTCTGGTCTGTCTGTGTATGGTCCGTTATGGTTCCTACCTCTGCCTCTGGTCTGGTCTGTCTGTGTATGGTCCATTATGGTTCCTACCTTTGCCTCTGGTCCGTCTGTGTATGGTCCGTTATGGTTCCTACAGTACCTTTGCCTCTGGTCTGTCTGGTCCGTTATGGTTCCTACCTTTGCCTCTGGTCGGTCTGGTCCGTCATGGTTCCTACCTTTGCCTCTGGTCTGTGTTTTGTTATGTATTTGTTTGAGTCAGTCACAGCACGCACCGAGTCGATTCAGCCATCTTGGTTACTTTATTGTCTACTGCCGCCTGGTGGTCAGTGCATATAACAGCATCAACATCATCATTGTACACATATCATGACATCCTCATTTTTTTTTTTTTTTTTTTTTTTTAATAGTCACTAAACCAGTGACCTGTACATAAAGGTTGCAGAAAGTTATTATTATTATTATTATTTTTTCAACCTTATGCTTTCAATAAACACATGCATTTTTATTTTTATTTCTGTCTGGCATAGCATACATTTAGTTAAACTTTTTTTTTTTTTTAGAACTGTTTAACATAAATGGCACAATGTGCTACTCCTCAACTAGCCTTTTAGGTCTATTAACAACACGACCACTAGCTGTTTTTGTATGAAGCATTTCTGAGCTGACATTATCGGCAGTAGTTACAGGTTGATTACAGGTTGATGAGGTTCTTTCTGTGAATCTGCACTGTTAACTACATTCTGCTGAGTAACATTTCGCTCATCATTTAGCACATTTTGATTCTTTGACAACATCAAAAACTTTCGATTTCTTCTGTACCTTTGTCCATCTGGTGTCTGAACTACGTAAGATCTCGGGTGGTCAGACTTTCCTGAAACCTGAGCTGGACACCATTTACCATCTTGCCACAATCTCACAGTGTTTCCAACCTGCAGTTGTTGTAATGGTTTTGCTCCTTTGTCAAAGTAGTCCTTTTGTTTCACTTGTCTCGCCTGTAGCATCCGCTGTACTCCAGTAGTGACTGTTTTGGGATCCAACATGCATGAAGGTGTCGGGAGCTTGGTCCTCACGCGACGTCCCATTAACAGTTGCGCTGGTGATCTTCCGATGTCCTCAAATGGTGTACTCCTCAGATTGAGCATTGCCAAATATGGATCTTTTCCATCTGCTTTGGCCTTTTTAAGCAGTAGTTTGACGGTCTGCACTCCTTGTTCTGCCATTCCATTAGACTGAGCATGATGGGGGCTCGATGTTTTGTGAATAAAGTCCCACCCGTGTGCAAATGTCTGGAATTCCTTTGAGCTAAACTGTGGTCCATTATCTGAAATTACAATTTCAGGAATACCATATCTAGCAAATTGGGATTTCAGATGTGTGATGACAGTTGCACTTCTTGTGTCTGATTTTAACCACTCCACTTCAACAAACTTTGAGTAGTAGTCCACTAAGATTAAGTATTCCTGCTGGTCAAATGTGAATAGGTCGACGCCTATCTTTTGCCAAGGCCTTTCCGGAACACTGTGTGGATGTAATGGCTCTTTACTTAGTCGTTTCTGATATGTACTGCACACATCACAACTGCTCACTAGGTCAGTAATACTTTGAGACATGCCAGGCCAAAAGAGTACTTCTCTCGCTCTGCGCCTGCAGCTTTCAATACCCAAGTGTCCCTCGTGAATAAGTTTTAGCATGTCCTCTCTTAAAGATACCGGAACTATCAGTCTTTCGCCTTTCATCAGAATCCCTTCAACAAAGGATATTTCTTCTCTGTAGTTCCAATAAGCTTGAATGTCTTTCACAACTTGGCTTTTTGTCACTGGCCAACCTTGTAGTACTGTTTTGGAAAGTTTAGTTAAGGAAGCATCTTTTGCTGTTTCTATTTTGAACAGTTGCAGCTTTTCGTTTGACACAGGTAAGTTGGACATTACCATGTGCACTTGCGCTTCAATGTCTTTGTCAGGTGAGTTTGTTACTGGCAGATAAGCTCTAGATAATGCATCTGCAATATACATCTCTTTTCCTGGCTTGTACTGCACATTCACTTGGTACTTTTGAAGTCTCAACAATAGTCTCTGTATTCTGGCTGGTGCGCTGCTCAGTGGCTTTTTCATTATAGCTTCCAGTGGTTTATGGTCAGATTGAACATCCACTTCTCTTCCATATATGTACTGGTGAAAGCGCTCAGCTCCGAATACTATTGCCAACATTTCTTTTTCTATTTGCGCGTAGCGCTGTTCCGTTTCAGTCAATGCACGTGAAGCATAGGCTACTGGCTTATTCTCTTGCAGTAAAACTGCACCAAGTCCACTTTTGGACGCATCTACTGACAGTGTTACTGATAGTTTCACATCATAGTACCTGAGCAATGGCGCTTCAGTCAGTATTGTTTTCAGCTTGGTGAACGTATCCTGATGCTCTTCATTCCAGTCCCATGCAACGTCATCTCTGGTTAGAATGCGTAGAGGTTCAGTGTGTTCAGACATATTTGGGATAAACTTTGCAAGGTAAGTTACCATACCCAAAAATCGCTCAACATCTTTTTTGCATTCTGGAGTTGGCATCTTGACTACAGCTTCAATTTTACTCTGATCTGGTTTCAAACCGTCTTTTGAGAAGATGTGGCCCAAGTATTTAATTTCTTCAAGACCAACTTTGCACTTTGCTTTGTTCAGCTTAAAGTTCTTTGCTCTGGCTATTTCTAGCACTTGTCGCAGTCTGTTGTCATGTTGCTCGATTGTCTCCCCCCAAATCAGTATATCGTCAATGTACGTTTCAACGCCTTCAATGCCTTCAAACAGGTGTTTCACCGTCCTGTGAAACACCTCTGGAGCGGAGTTAATCCCGAAGGCGAGCCTTAGGAAGCGGTAACGGCCAAAAGGAGTGTTGAAAGTACAAAGGAGAGAGCTGGCTTCATCCAGTTTCAGTTGCCAGAAACCTGAGCTTGCGTCCAAAACCGTGAAGTACTTGGCTGTTGATAATCTGCAAGTTATTTCCTCAACAGTTGGAAGCTGATAATGTTCTCTCATGACTGCTGTATTGAGGTCTCGTGGATCTAGGCATAATCTTAATTTGCCTTTATTCTCTACAATAACAATGGGGTTGACCCACTTGGTAGGCTCCTCAATCTTTGTTATGACCTCCAGTTTTTCCATTCTTTCCAGTTCTGTTTTCAGTTTTTCTCTTAAAGTCACAGGTATTTTCCTTGGTGGGTGTACCTTTGGAGTTACACTTGCGTCGATCCGAATGCTGTGTTCTCCCTCGAGGCACCCCAAGCCCTCAAATACATCGGCATATTCTTTGAAAATGTCCATTTTGGTGTTTTTGTCCAGTGCATGAATTCTTTTGATGAGACCCATGTCCTCGCATGCGTTGAGTCCCAGTATTGGCATTGCATCTGGTTTCACCACAATGAACTGTAGAGTGTATGGCTTCTTTTTATATTTGACCATCCAGTTGCATTCACCCATGACTTGAATCTGGTTTCCTGTGTACGCAAATAGTTTCACTTTTGTGGGTCTTAATGTTGCTCTTCTGCCCATGCTTTGCAGCAGCTTGTAAGGGATTACATTGGCCTGTGCCCCTGAGTCAAGTTTAAATTGTATGTGTTTGTGTTCCACTTCCAACTTGACAGTCCATTGGCCTTTTAGTTGCTGTGCTTTTGCTTGTACACTTCCAACAAACAGATTTGCTTGCTCCATGTCGTCCTCGTCGACAGTGTGCACTTTCTTTGATTGACACATTTTGGCGTAGTGATTCAATTTATCACAATTCTTACATTGCTTGCCATATGCGGGGCATTTCTTTGCTGCATGCTCACTTCCGCATCTTTTACAGAAAAACGTGCTTGCTTTTTCTTTTTCACTTTGTTTAGTTTTATTGTGTTGCATCTTTTTATATGGCTGCTTGTATCTAACTGCATCGATGTGCTTGCTTTCACGTGCTGATGCTTGAGTGCTGAAGTCTTCCTCTTGCATCTGCTTGATTTGCACTTTTGTAGTTTCTGCCGCTAAACACAGTTGGGAAGCTCGTTCAAGATTAAGGTCAGCTTCTCTCAAAAGTCGTTCTCTCATCACATCTGATGTGATTCCACAGACAACTCGATCTCTAATAAGAGACTCTTGTAATTGTCCAAATTCACACGACTTAGCTCTCAGTTTTAGCTCTGTGATGTACTGGCTAACTGTCATGTCCCCTTGAACACACGTGAAAAATCTGTATCTCTCGTACGTAATGTTCTTCTTTGGGTTGCAGTATTCGTCGAACTTTTCCATGATTTTATTAAGTTTGTGCTTATCATCTTCTTCTGCGAACGTGAAGGTATTGTACACTTCCACGGCATCTTCACCGGCAATATGAAGAAACAGAGAGGACTGCACTTTAGCTGTTTTGCTAGCTCCTCCGGTCGCTGCTAGGTATAGCTCAAACCTTTGACGGAACCTCCTCCAATTTTCAGACAGGTTACCGTGCTGAAGCTCGAGTCCAGACGGTGGCTTGAGTCCTTCCATTGCAGTCTTGTTGAATTTATATTACTTTTTTTACTTCTGACACCATGTTTTGTTATGTATTTGTTTGAGTCAGTCACAGCACGCACCGAGTCGATTCAGCCATCTTGGTTACTTTATTGTCTACTGCCGCCTGGTGGTCAGTGCATATAACAGCATCAACATCATCATTGTACACATATCATGACAGTCTGTCTGGTCCGTTATGGTTCCTACCTTTGCCTCTGGTCCGTCATGCGGCCGCTGGAGGGTTGGTCTTTGGGTCTGAGCCGCAGCACTTCACCATCCAGTCGGCCACATGGTACAGAGCTGAACAGAAGGAAACTCTCTGGTCAAACAGCCAGAGGAATGAGGAATATCCCACATGGTCCTTACCAGAGAAGAGCAGTCACAGCATCAGTCTGGAAGCTCCTTTTAATGTTGAAGGTTCCTGTCTGAGAGAAAGGAGAGCTCGTAATGAAACTGCAGACACAGATCTGGTTTCTGTTGCTGTGGAGACGTTAATAATTCATTACTTTAATTTATTTAAATCACTCTGGAGAGACTCAAACAAACAAAAGGGGTTAGAATTGTATTTATTGGTTGGAAAGTCCGTCACTATAAATACGCACAAATGACTAAATAGGCGAGAATGACATTTATTCCATGGTGTGTGTGAAATGATTTGGTGCTTAGACCCTGGCACTGGAGGACAGAGGCAAAGGGGGAAATTAAATGTATATTATGTGATCAAATCCCCTGGGGCCTGGACCTCTGGAGCTAAGAGAAGCCTAGTCTGGCGGTCGAAAGATGGAGAGGAGTACGAATGAATGTGAAAGCGTTAAGAGAAGAGAGAGCGCGTGTGTGTGTGTGTGTGTCTGTGTATGTGTGTGTAAGAGAGCAAAATAAATGGATAAACATAAGTATTTCGAATTGAATTGAACCATTACAAAAACTATGGCTGCGACCCAACACCGCCCCCTGGTGTCGGTTGATTAAAGATAGATAGATACTTTATTGATTCCCGTAGAATAAAAACAGGTGTTCAGCTGCAGAAACACATCCATCCAAAAAAATAACAATAGAAAAATCTAAAAGCCACTAACAATAGTAATAAAGTACAACAGCCACAGTCACAGCAGCAGGGGGGGTTGTAGTCTCTTTAATTACTATGGTAACAACAAAGACACTAACATAAATAAATAACCACATCAATAAAACGTAGGTTAAACTTTAAAAGAAAAGAAAACTAAAGTAAATCCTGATCGATGACTCTGTGCGCGGCTGGGCGGGTCTGACCGGGAGACTGTCGATGAGTCTGTGCGCGGCTGGGCGGGTCTGACGTGGAGACTGTTGTTGGAGCTAGCTTTAGCATGTAGCGGTTTCCTTCCTCCGGACTGGATCCAGCAGGTTCGTGATTCTTCTGTCCTTCTGAGAGAGAGAGCAGTGTCTGTAGAGATGGGTCTGTGTCCAGGCCGTGCTGTCATACGGCGCTGTGTTGTGTTAATGCTCGTGTTTCTGCAGCAGGGGCGGTGTCAGTGATTAGGACTTATCTAACTGTGACATTTGCAAAAACCAACGCACAGTCTCCTTCTTCAATCCAAAGGTTTGGCTGTTGCTGACAGTGATTTGTGCAGACTTTTGACTCGGGTCTAAACCTCACGCTGTCCCAGAGCAGTGTTCATTACAACACAAACATGTCCATATAAGGGCATCCTGTGATATCACACACAGCACTGTCCGCATTCAGCCTACACCGATTTAACACTGACTCTGCCACTTTAGAGAAAATAAATTACTATTTTTTCACTTTGACGCAGAAATAAAAGTTCACAGTTTAACAATAGTTTGTGAAGGCGAGGTCTATTTAGTCGATCTATTTAGTCGAGTAATCAGGTGGCATGAGACAGAATTTATTTTTATTTTTATTTCCATGTACATAACAGGGAGTCTCTCTGTGCAACGGTCAAAGAGGAGTCACAGAGAGAGGCACAGTGAAAATCTAACATCTAAAATATAAAAACTACAGTTATTAAAAATATTACTATTTACAAGTGCACATGGTGCACACAATATACAGTAAGCAGTGCAATAAGGACACAGTGAAGTGACAACAGAAGAGAGGGGCCGATGGCACAGACTGGTTGCCTCGCTTCTGTCAGTGTGCCCCAAGGCAGCTGTGGCTACTGTAGTTGTTATCATCACTGTGTATGGAGTGAGTGATTGGGGCTGGGAGGGGTCTTCAATCCTCCAAAAGCGAGTTCATGATACATTTATTGACATAATTCAACATTTTTTGTGCTTATTTCATAATAACCCAGCTTTAAACTTCACTCAAAACATTAAACACTTTATTCTAATAGATGAAGTCATATATGTTTTCCTTGACTGGTTCGTATGTGTCATAAGATTAGACACACACACACACACACGCTCACACACACACACACACTCTGACGTGGCGTGTGTGTCATTGGCAGGATGTTACAATGGACTGCAGCCCTGCGTTGCCGGACAGTCTGGTGTTAGAGATCTTCTTCCGCCTGCCGCATGACGCCGTGCTGACCGCGGGCCTGACCTGCCGCCAGTGGTTGGCCGTGTCCCGAGATGAGTTCCTCTGGAGAGAGCTCTTCTACAGCTACTACCGCATCCCGCGCACCGTGCCCAGGCACCCAGGTACACAAGCTTACACTCATAGTTACTATGTGTGTACTGTGTGTGCTCCCTGGGTCTCCTGTCCTGTGCCTCTTTGATCCAGACGATAAACCAGGATGAGGGGGCGGCTTTACTCTCACACACCTTTGAGACGTTAATGCATTTCTTGTTTTATTTGAAATCCTTGCTCTGTGTAAGTCGTGAAGCCGTCAGTGTTGGATTCTGGATTTTTTTTTAAACTTTTTTTTAAATTGAATGGATACTTTCCTAAACTGTGTATTTTGCAAAATAGCCACAACTCTATTATAGTTTTTAACAGCTGTCAGTTTAGCGTTTTCTTTAAACGTTCATGAATAATGTATGTTTATTCGTGTGAAACCTGCTCTAAATGAAGCGTGTCCTCTGTGTGTCCTTTACGTGTCCTCTGTGTGTCCTTTACGTGTCATCTGCGTGTCCTCTGTGTGTCCTCTGCGTGTCCTCTGTGTGTCCTTTACGTGTCCTCTGTGTGTCCTCTGCATGTCCTCTGTGTGTCCTTTACGTGTCCTCTGTGTGTCCTCTGCATGTCCTCTGTGTGTCCTTTACGTGTCCTCTGTGTGTCCTTTACGTGTCCTCTGTGTGTCCTCTGTGTGTCCTTTACGTGTCCTCTGTGTGTCCTTTACGTGTCCTCTGTGTGTTCTTTACGTGTCGTCTGTGTGTCCTTTACGTGTCCTCTGTGTGTCCTTTACGTGTCCTCTGTGTGTCCTTTACATGTCCTCTGTGTGTCCTTTACGTGTCTTCTGTGTGTCCTCTGCGTGTGCAGCGGCCGTGTCCTGGTACCGTGAGTTCAAGCGCCTGTTCGACTGTATCCCGTGTGTGGAGGTGCAGACTCTGAGACATCACACGGACCAAGTCCTGCATCTGGCCTTCTCCCACAGAGGACACCGCTTCTCCTCCTGCTCCAAGGACTGCACCGTCAAGGTACTGTGAAGGTACTGCACTGTGAAAGTACTGTGAAGGTACTGCACTGTGAAAGTACTGTGAAGGTAATGCACTGTGAAAGTACTGTGACGGTACTATGAAGGTACTGTGAATGTACTGCACTGTGAGAGGACAGAGTGTGACATCACCTTCATGTGGAAGAACCCATTTGATCATAGACTGTAAATATTACCTACCCCAACAAACCAACAGAACTCAGCATTATAAGTCTCTCTCTCATTATTCTGTGGCTCTCGTGGAGCTAAAGTCCTGGAGGCTCCGTGTCTTTGACTCGTGACCGACTGTGGTTCCACAAACACAGCTCTGTTTGTGTCTTTAAAGGTTCATTGCTCAACTGCACTTTTTTAAGAACAAATATTACAGTATTTTTTCTTTGTAATTCCATGTTTTTAGAATCTGAAATGTTGACTTATAAATATCTGGTGAAACTAGTACAAAGAGTAAAACATGCTTTCTGCCTGTAACTCCCGGCGCTGCCACCAGAGGGAGGTGTTCATCTGTTTCTCCCCCAAATACTTAAATGAATGTAATTTCACCTAAGATTTTATCAAAACGACTTTATGGCCAATACTTTTGTTTTAAGGACAGGTCTGCCCTGTGATGTCATCGTCGCACTGCAGGCCGTGGTTCCTCGTCAATGAGCACTTCCCTGTTGAGCTAGCACGTTAGCATCGTTCTTATGTTCAAACCACACTTTTAGTTTTTGAGATTTGAGCTTTGGAGGATTAAATAAATCACCATTATCTTTGAATATAGCTTATTGTTTACTGTAATATTCTACTACTGTACCAATGATGAACAAATGAATCAAGTCAACATTTCAGACATGTTTAAATGGTCACAAATGTGTGTGTTTTCAGTTGTGGGACACAGAGCGCCCGGATGGAAACATTTCTCTGGTGCACAGCTGCAGCATGCGGCAGTTTAACTGGGGCTACACACAGTTCTCTCAGTTCAACGCAGACGACTCTCTGCTGCTGGTGTCAGGAGTGTATCTGGGGCCGCACCACGCCTCCTCCGGGGAGATCGCTGTCATCAGCCTCGGTACGTGCTGTTAGCTAGCCGCGCTAACCTAGACGGTTAGCTAATTATCTAGTTAGTTAGATTTCATTTCAAACCTACAGGACGCAATTTCACATGAGGACATTAACTTTACTGCTTTAGCTGCCGGTGGTTTGTTTGTGTGTGTGTCTGTGTGTCTGTCTGTGTCTCTAAGTCTGTGTGTGTGTGTGCCTGTGCCTGTGTGTGTCTGTGTGTCTGTCTGTGTCTCTAAGTCTGTGTGTGTGCCTGTGTGTGTGTGTTTGTATGTGTATCTGTGTGTTTGTGTGTGTGTGTGTGTGTGTGTGTCCCTCTCTGGGACCTTTTTCGGGGAAACGTTTTTAAAATGAAGCTAAAGTGGAGGAGAACAAAGATCACTGCTTTCAATCGAGCAGCAACCCCCCTCCTCCCCATCACCGCCGTCAGATTAATTACCAACCAATACATTCAATTCTAACTTCCTGTTTTGTCTGTCTGGGTCTCTCCAGATTGATCAGAGATGATGTTTCAGAGCATCTAATCTAATGTCTAACTTTTTGTGTGTTGATTGTGAAGAGAACTACACACTGTTGTCGCGCGTCCGGAACAAACCGTACGATGTGTTCGGCTGTTGGCTCAACGAGTCTCACCTCATCTCCGGAAACCTGCACTGGATAGGGAACATGACCTCCTGCTCCGTCCTGTGGCTCAATAAAGCTTTCCAGGTTTGAATCGTCACAACAACAATAAAGTCTGAAGTGGTTTTTATCAAGTCCATGATGTTTTAAAGGCTCAAGCTAAAATGAGTAACACATAAATATGTACGGCCATTTTCTATGAAAACACGTCTGATTTTACTTTTGGGATTGAAATGTGGAAAAGCTCTGGTCTCTCTCGCTGGTGTATTTCTTACTGGTATCTCTCTGGTCTCTCTCAGGTCTCTCTCTGGTCTCTCTCAGGTCTCTCTCTGGTCTCTTTCTGGTCTCTTTCTGGTCTCTCTCTGGTCTCTCTCTGGTCTCTCTCTGGTCTCTCTCTGGTCTCTTTCAGGTCTCTCTCTGGTCTTTCTCTGGTCTCTTTCTGGTCTCTCTCTCTGGTCTCTCTCTGGTTTCTCTCGGGTCTCTCTCTGTTCTTTCTCAGGTCTCTCTGGTCTCTCTCTGGTCTCTCTCTGATCTCTCTCTTGTCTCTCTCTGGTCTCTCCCTTGTCTCTTTCTGGTCTCTCTCTTGTCTCTTTCTGGTCTCTCTCTCTGGTCTCTCTCTGGTCTCTCAGGTCTCTCTCTGGTCTCTCTCTTGTCTCTTTCTGGTCTCTCTCTGGTCTCTCTCTCTGGTCTCTCTAGTCTCTCTCAGGTCTCTCTCTGGTCTCTCTCAGGTCTCTCTCTGATCTCTCTCTGGTCTCTTTCTGGTCTCTCTCTGGTCTCTCTCTCTGGTCTCTCTCTGGTCTCTCTAAAGTTCTCTGAGATGACTGCTGCTGGAATTCAGAGCTGCACATAATTACACTGAACTTAATTTAATTTAATTGAACTGTTTTGATTGGACTGATTTCTGAAGGACATCGAGTCTGAGAACGTGAACGTGGTGAAGCGTCTGTTTAAGATCCAGAACATCAACGCCAGCACCATCCGCACGGTGATGGTCGCCCACTGCCGTCGCCACAACAACCCGGACCTCCTGCTGGACTACGACGCTCAGGTGGAAGCGCGCAGGGGGAGGGGCCCCGAGCCGCCGCATCAGCCGCTGCTCTTCGACCTTGGGGCGTCCGGCAGCGAGGAAGAAGAGGAGGATGAGTGTGGGAGGGGCTTCTCCTCCTCCAGACACCAGCTGCCCACGTACTCGGGCCTGGAGCACGTGATGCAGGCGAGTCCTTCTGCACCGGGAACTTGGAATATTACCGTCATTTATGGAGCCGCTGTTGTATCCAGGTCTTTGATGCCGCTAATGTTGTGATGCAGCTAATGTAGCGATGCCACTAATGTAGAGATGCAGCTCATGTGTGTTTTATGGACTATAGGACACTTGTCTGGTCTCTCTCTAGAGGAGAGAGAGTGACCAGAGAGAGTGACCAGAGAGAGTGACCAGAGAGAGTGACCAGAGAGAGTGACCAGAGAGAGTGACCAGAGAGAGAGACCAGAGAGAGAGACCAGAGAGACCAGAGAGAGTGACCAGAGAGAGTGACCAGAGAGAGTGACCAGAGAGAGTGACCAGAGAGAGTGACCAGAGAGAGTGACCAGAGAGAGTGACCAGAGAGAGTGACCAGAGAGGGAGACAGACAGAGACCAGAGAGAATGACCAGAGAGAGAGACCAGAGAGATTGTAGTGTTGATCAAATGTCATCACACATTCTCTGATAGTATTTTTGTGTCTTTAGAGTTGTAAAAACATAAACCAACGTGAGCTGCAAATAGAGACACACGTGGCAGAGATGATGGGCAGGTCTCACACTAAGGAGTCAAACCGCATTGAAAACGGTGACTCTGGGGATGAAGACAAAACCTATCTGCTGTTCACCACCGGAAGTCTGACCTACTCCCCGCACCAGATCGGTAAGAAACACGATACAACGAAAGCTTTAAAACCAGTGACGATGATGATGATGGTGATGATGATGATGGTGATGATGATGATGATAATAATGATGGTGATGATGACGATGATTGTGATGACAATGACGACGGTGATGATGATGATGATGACTACGATGGTGATGTCGGTGATGATGAAGGTGATGGTGATGACAATGACGATGGTGATGATGATGACTACGATGGTGATGATGGTGACGATGATGATTACGGTGATGATGTCGGTGATGATGATGGTGATGATGATGGTGATGACGATGGTGACGGTGATGATGATCTCGGCATCATTTATGAAAACACTTTCACCGTTGAATCACTTTGTACTGAACATAATATTAAAGTTTTTTCCCAGAATGCCTCACTCACCGTTGTTCCAACAAAAAGCCATATATTCCAGCACTACATATGTTACATGTGTTTTCATGTTGTGTGTCTTTGCAGGTATAAAACTCATCAAGCCTGAGCAGATGTCCACGTCTGGGCCGGTCCTGGGTGAGGAGCGCCGCTCGGAGGAGTTCTTTGACTCTTTGGACCATGTGATTGATATCCACGGTCACATTATTGGACTGGGTCTCTCTCCAGACCACAGGTCGGTCCATGGGTCGGTCCACAGGCCGCTCTCCGGTCTCTGCTCTGGTTTAGCAGGTCTAACAGGTCTTTGAATGGTCCACAGATACCTGTACGTGAACAGCAGGGCGTGGCCCGCGGGCTGCGTCATCTCAGACCCCATGGCCCCACCCCCCATCGCAGAAGAGATCGACCTTCACGTCATCGACCTGAAGAACCTGAGAGTGGAGCGGAGGAGTCTGCGCGCTCACCGGGCCTTCACGCCCAACGACGAGTGCTTCTTCATCTTCCTGGACGTCAGCAGAGACTTCGTTGCCAGGTAAGTGACTTTAGCATCAGAACGGGCTCCTTTCACGGAATAAGGAACATTTCTGCTTTTTTAAAACATGTGGAAGTGCAGAAGACTTTTAAACCTTTTAAACTATGACATCATCTTTTCATATATTCTTATAACATCACTGTTTTATAGTTCTTTCTCCTTGCAGCTTATTCAGAGATGTGGCTGATATGTGTATTTTTATAGTTGTCAGAGCAGAATTTATGTAGCTATATCCAATCCAGTTCATTTATATAGTGCTGCACAAAGATCAAAGTATTTAAATAAACAGGTTTGCAGCTTTATATGTATCAAGAGTAAGTCATGTTTATTTGTACTAAATAATAGAATAGGTAAAACAATTATGATGTGTCCAGTAAAACAGTCGTCTGCGACATCACTAACATGAAACCCTGCGGCGCATTATATTAGGTTATAAATAACCTATTAATAACCTATATAGGTTATTAATAGGTTATTAATAAGTTATTTATAGGTTATTCATAGGTTATTTATAGGTTATAAATAGGTTATTTATAGGTGCGCCGTATAGCACCAGACGGTCTCATCCCTGCATTTTACTTTTCAGCGCTGTCATGTTACGAAGGTGTAAGAAGAAAATCCATTCATTTTTCAAACTATTGCATAGTTAACTTCAGACTAATAATTAAAATGAAAAATAGTAATAATAATAAGTTATTTCTCCTTTCCTTGCGGCCGGTTCAGAATTACCGGGTCGTGAAGTGATTTTAATGCCTTTTCTTTATTCTGTGAGTTTGTATGAACTGTGCAACACAAATAACCGTTCCTCGCCGTCCCTCATAGCGGCGCCGAGGACAAACACGGTTACATCTGGGACCGCCACTACAACATCTGCCTGGCCCGCCTGGCGCACTCGGACGTGGTGAACTCCGTGGCCTTCAGCTCGGCCGACCAGGAGCTGCTTCTGTCCGCCAGCGACGACTCCACCATCAAAGTGTGGAGGTCCCCCCGCATGCTGCGCCTGGCTCAGACTCTCCCCCACCGCACCCCCAAGCCCCGCGGCCTGCTCCCCTCCTGGCTCAGCCGCGGCAGGACCTCCACTCCAGGAAGTAATATCAACGGGAAGTCTTGAAACGCAGCCTGCTGTTTGTGAAGATGTTGTTCTGGTTTCGTTTGTGAGTTTTTGGTGATGGCTTTTATCGACGTGTCCTGTTGATGTTGCTGTGTGCAGAGGAGCCCAGCAGGGGGCAGCAGTCTCCACCAATACATCTCCTAATACTGTTTCTGCCAATACTACCACCACCCTGCTATTTCTGATAAAACTACAACTGTTGCTACTACTACTACTGCTACTACAACAACTAGTACTACTCCTTCTACTGCGCTATAACTGCTGCTACTACTACTACTACTACTACTAGGCTTCATTCAGTCAGCCTGTGCGGGTTTGGGTTCCTCCAGTGGCTTTCGATAGTGTCCACTGGAATAACAAAAAGTTCTACTATTTATAACTAAATATGATTCTGATCCATCAGATTTGATCAGAATGTTGTGAAAATAGAAGGTTAACAGTCGCTAAAACACCTCATCATTAACTCGTGTTGTGTCCAGTTAAAACAGTCATCTATCTGCTGTTGGTTTAGTCTGACATCACAACATGAAAACCTGTGGCTTATATCCCAGTGCGTCCTGTGTGTGGACAAAGAATTCTTTTCTTTTCAAAGGCAGATGGTGTAGTTTTGATGCAGGTTCACCTAAAAGTCCTGTTTTTGGAGCGTTCACTTCAACTGGACCAGATCGAGGTCATTGGGGGACTCCCATCAGAGACAAACAACCCCCAATGTGGAACTAATGAAAGTTATTTATGTTTTAAAACAGACGTGTGAAGTGTCTATCCTGAACTGGACCAGCCCCAGTCCAGTGAAAGTCCCCGACAGACCGATGCACAGTGACACTAGGACCACTTCGACACGAGAACCCGACTCAGGTTTTCATTTCAAAACTAAAATGTCAATGAAGCTCCTACAGACCGACCTAAACGTCTGTTTAACTGTTACTGCTGCCGTCTGTTCAAGCAGGTTTTTAAAGATGATTTAAAGATGTTGAGTAAATGTGACCGAGTTGGTTATTTTCTTGTGTCTGTTTTAAAGTGAACGATATTTAAAGTTTTTAACAGATGCAGCTGGACTTGATTGTATTTATATCTCGGTGCAGCCGCAAACGGAAAAGTCAAAATTGGTCATTTTTGATTTTGTGGGTGCATGAAGAGAGCGGTACATAGTTCTGATTTAGGGTTTTCAGGTTTTCACACTAAGGACCACTGGACCAGAGACCTTAAGGACCACTGGACCAGAGACCTTAAGGACCACTGGACCAGAGACCTTAAGGACCACTGGACCAGAGACCTTAAGGACCACTGGACCAGAGACCTTAAGGACTACTGGACCAGAGACCCTGAGGACTACTGGACCAGAGACCCTGAGGACTACTGGACCAGAGACCCTGAGGCCTACTGGACCAGAGACCTGAAGGACTACTGGACCAGTGTGGATGGTGTTTGTGCTTTCAGGTCCCAAAGTGAACCATTTGTACCGTATTTAAACTGAACTATTTTGGACCTGAAACGTGAGAATGTCACAAGATACGACGTCATAAAAGTCTTTGAAGATTCTTTTATAAGACCGAGTGTAAAGAAGCTAGTAATGCAGAGAAGGCAACACAGGAAAACCTTATATAAAAATCATATCATGGACTGGGACGAGGCAAAAATAGGAACGGGAGAACATAAATGCAAAAGTTGAATAGGAGAGGGGACTGAAACCAGGAAGCAGACGGACCATGAACGGAGACGAGGGGGCCTTCACCTTGCATCACACGTGGACCACAGAACCAGCAGCTGAACTCGCTTCTTTACACTTATTAAAAGAACCTTAGCCTTAAACAAAGACGTTAAAACTACTTATTCTGGATCCATTCATCTGATTTATCTTATTTTAAATGTTTCTTTTATGAACAGAGATCGTCTCCGTTAAAGGTTTCTCATTTGTCAGATGTTAAACTGTCGACTCCAACTGCCAACCAATAAAAGAGCAATGTGTAAAAGAGTGAATGATTTATCGCTTCATTCTAAGAAACCAATAAACATCTATTTTCCATCATTAAAAACTTTTTGAACATTTCCCACACTCAGCGATGTCACATGATCAGACCATGTTTTAGGAGTGTGACATCACCTCACTGCTGAAGAGGCCCATTAGAACAAAAGATAGCTGGAGCCGATGTCCTTATATGGGCATTTGTTCTGCTGGGTTAGTTTTGCGCTATAACAGATTCAGATGTGTTTCTAAGGCGGTTGCTAAGGCAAGCTGGAGTTTTCCATCTCAGAACGTGTTTGTGTCTCACCCTTTTTTAGACCTGCAGCTGTTGAATGTTTTAGTAAGAGTTCTCTAATGCATATCCCGATCACAGAGCAGGGATGTCAAAGTCAAATTCATAAGAGGGCCAAAAAAACAATTGCTACAAGCCAAAGGCCGGACTGGTTCAATGTTTATTATTCACATACTAAAATGATTACATATAATTGAACCAAGGCCTAGGTGTGCTGTATTTTTTTTTGTATGGCTTTGTCAGTCATTTCAGGTGAAAACAGTTTTCAACAGGCTTCAGAAAAAAACAAACTTCCTTTGAGGAGAAAACACATCCCCTGAATATTAAATGAATAATTCAGTATTTTCATACGACTCTGTGCGGCCAGTTTTAATACTAATCAAATATCATCTCTGGGGCCAATATAATTCATTGGCAGGCCAGATCTGGCCCCCGCGCCTTGACTTTGACACCTATGTAAAAGAGTAATCAAATATATGTTTTTGTTCAAATTGAGGCTTACTTATACGACATGAAATGACAAACCACTTCATGACAACAGCTGAAATGTTAAGAATGAAATGCAGTTTATTGCATTATATCAAGCACAACATTAATCTTCCTTCTTACAGACGACGGTCAGTGCCGCGGTGTCGGCCTCCCGCTGAGCCGTCTTCATCTTGGCTCTTAGTTCTTCAAACTTTTCTTCCAACCGCTTTGTTAAGTAGGTCTGCGTAGGAAGCACATAATTAGGTTGGAAAGTGGCGATCATGGCCTTGAAGCCGACATCGTCCACCATGCTCAGCGGGCGCATGTCGGTGACCAGCATGTTCAGAATACTGTCCGTCAGAACAGCGGCGTGTTCCGGGGAGCAAGGTCCCTCCATCACGGCGTCTGATGGTTTACTGAGGGAGAAAGGAGATGTTACATGTCCATCACACACACGCCTTCCAGATCCAAGAGAGCAATCTGTGCAAAATGTGCAATATGTGCAATGTCAGAATGTGCAATATAGAACCACATATGTCCACCACTGTACTTAGCTGCGAACATGTACAGATGTAAACAGACAACTATATAGTTCTTAAAGGTCCTATATCACGCTTTTCTTCATGTTTCACACTCAATCCTATACACATGTGTGATATTAATGTGTATGATACACCACACAACAATCAAAGCTTGTGAGATTAGAGCCATCTCTTGTATAGAGGTGACGTCACCTCGACTCAAACGAGCTGATCCAGAGAAGAGTCTGCTCCTCTGCCTGTGAGCCCGCCTCCCCCCGCCCGCACGGTGACGTAGCATCACGCTTTTGTCGTTTATCACCTGTACTTAGTAATTTCATACATAAGAATAAACTTTTTCCAACGATGACAATCCGTCACATCGAGCCCTATGTCCTCGATGCACAATCAGACCCTAGTTATTTAGTTTACAGAAGTATACAGCGAGTTAGCGTCACTGCTTACAGATCGAGGGGGTCTGAGTTACGTCTTTTACCGTGGGAATAACTTGTTTCCAGATCAGCCTTTGAGTAAGTCCAGTTCCATTGTCCCTGTAGTTCTGGAACAGTCTCAGTGAAGTGTCGCAGATGAACCGGTTTATAATAGATCCATGAGATGAACAGATGAAAAAAGTCGAGCCGCTTTCTTCCTCTTCGGGCCAAATAGTGTGTCACATATTTACACCCATAACACACTTCATTCAAGTTGACGTGATCCTAACACTTTTAGTTTCTGACAAAAGCATAAAAACAGCAGCTCTATGTGGTGTCCGCGAGACCAGACCACAGACGCTGGACTCGGGAGCCGGAGCCTGTGCGCTCTGATTCGCTGTTTTGATCCGTCAATCACCTCCCGCCGGCTTTTAATTTATTTTTATTTTTATTATTTTTGACAAAAAACAGCATACTAATTGTGTATTGTTTACCCCGTTTTGACAAAAGTATTTAACAACTATTTTAAATACAAAGCAAACGGGGTCATGCGCGTCATCAGTGTGGTTTTCGTCACTGAAGTGGACCCGAGCGTTTCTGTGCCTCACGCTGGGGAAGGAGACAGATTGCTCTCTTACAAAAGATTGACAGAATCAATGAATAAACTACTGTGGGCTTGTGTATGAAGGCCAAATAGCATTGTAATCATGTTTAAAGCAGAGAAAAGTCAAAAACCGTGATATGGGCCCTTTAAACTATAACTTTATAATACTGTATATTCTAGTTTAGTTCTCATTGTTCACTGATTTTGTGCTGCTTATTACTGTTCTGTAACTGGTGATGGAAGTGAGTGAGTTTTCACCCTGCTGCTTTGGAGGAGTTTGACTTCCTGCGTTACGTAGAAAATCCTTGTTTCATTATAATTAACAATATAATTAACCATTATAATGAACATTATAATTAACATTTCTTTTGCTCACACAGTTTGCGTTACCCCACAGAAGCTGACCTGGTCTCGGGCTGATCCTCATGCTTCCTCTTGAGGTGCTGCAGCATTGAGGTGGTGCTGGTGTAGTAAGCCAGCTCCACAGTGTTTGCAAACTACTGCGCCTTAGATGTTAATCTGAAGTGTTCCCAGACTTTGGACATCCTCTGGCGCTTCTTGAGGCCGGTCTGCGGCTGCTCTTCCCCGGTGCTGTTTGCCTCGTCTTCCATCGTCAACTCCACGAAAGTTTCACAAACTTTTTCTTCTGATGAAAGTTTCACAAACACAAGCTGAGCAAGTATTGAAAAGAGCGGCGCTGTGGGTGCAGGGCACGTAGGGTCTGTGACGTATACGCGCGATGCAACACACAAGGAATCCGTGTGAAACAAGGCAAAAGGCCGCAAAAAACGGAACAAAAGCAGATCTATGTTCGATACCTCGAGGCAGCGGCAGTGAGTCGACTATTTTTCGTCATCGAATTACTTGAGTTACTTGAGGAATCGTTTCAGCTCCACTGTTTTACACTTAAAATGTGGTTTAGGATTCTCGATCTTGATGGTCTTTGATGGCTCATATCTGAATCTACATCTGCAGAAACTCCTGCTTCCATTAGCAACAAGTCTGAAAAGTGTTTAAGGAAATAAGTTCAAATCGGCTTATTCCACATTCAGCTCACACATCAATGATCAAATAAACATTGATCTAAAACATCGGAAATAAAGTATATGGTTGAACCATAGACTGTTCTTCTTAAAACTACACCACTGTTATTATAACTACTCCCCATGTCGTCGGGACAGGCCCGATATTATTATTATTGTTATTATTAATCCATGTGAAGAAGATGGCATAGTCTGGGATTGCTTCTTTCATTCAGACAGAAGACATGTTTTATTGTCGATGGTAGAGACTAGGGATGGGAATCTTGGGTCTCTGTCCGATTCGATTTACATCTCGATACACTTGTCACGATCCGATTCATTAAAGGTTCACCATCTAAACCCACCGATACGATGCGATTCAATTAAGTACTTTATCACAATGCATCTCGATTCTAGTTTGCCATCTGCTAAAGCTAACTATGCGATTCAATTTTCACACTTACCATGATACCCAACATTTTTACTCAATTAATTTGGTAAACAATTGTAGTTATTTTAAATGAATAAAGCAAAAAAGTAAATGAAAGAATTTATTAGCCAAATAAATCCAAGGCATTTCAAAAATTGCCATATTCTTCAAAATATTACAAAGTGACATTGCAAGGTGCCAGAAAAATATTAACAGTACATTCAAATGTTGACAAAATAGAACACAATGCACTGTGATTAACAGTGACATATTAGTCCTTCCTTAAAACTGTAACTTCAAGTATAACTTAAAAACAAAGTGCCAAGAACATGGCCATGCTGTCATAATTAAACTACATGTTCTTGTTTGAGGTTGGTTTTCAAAAAGATTAACTGATCTACGTGGTCTGGGTGCAGCAAACTGCGTTTGGCGTTTATTATTTCACCTGCTGTGCTAAAAACCCGCTCACACGGTACACTAGTGGCAGGTATGGAAAGGTAACTCTTTGCCAAAGCTGAGAGAAGAGGAAGATCCACTTGTTGTTTCCACCACTGCAACACATTACCCTCCAAACTTAAAGTTTCCCTCTCCCTATACTTTAAGATTTCCTCCTTAGCTCTGTCCTGAATGGTCTTCTTCTGCACCCTCTGACACTGCAGATCTCCAAACATCTGGTCCAGTGCGGTCTTCTTCTTAGGAGGTGAATGATCTATGGTTAGAATAGACACAAAAGAGATACATTGGGTAAATAACAATATAAAGGAGATGAAAAAAACAAAAACAATTAATCTTCAGCATTCAAACATCTATCATACCTGTATCATCTTCTTCACTTTTTGGGCTCCTGTTGTCCTCTTCAGCTGGCACATCTTCATCCAAAACCTCAAATCACAATTTATTTATTTATTGAACAAAATTACTGTGTTTTGCCTTGCTTAGTACTTAGTGCTTACCATATCACTCATCTTCAACACTGCTGTTGTAATCTTCATGAAGACCATGTCTTTGGTGGTGTCACTGTCGTCCAAGAATGACAAGTCTTTGAAACGTGGGTCGAGTGCTGAGGCCGAGTAGAGAAGATCTTGAAGATAGGTGTAACGGGCAGAAAAATCTTTTGTAAACTGCTCCTTCATTTGGGTGATGATGAGTAGGTCACTGTCATTTGGCTGAAAATGCATCTTCAGTTTTGCCTGTATTGGAACAATCATGGAGAGAGTGGGGTTTTTTTCTTCACTGAGAAGTACAGTAGCAACTTTTAAGGGCGCCATCAACTTGATGATCTCTGGAATTAAGATCATGTCACCTTCTGTGAGTGTGACAAGAGCTTCTCCTCTCTTCAGCTTCTTAGACAGCAAGGCATTTAACACAGCAGGTTGCTGTTCCCAAAAGCGTTCCAGCATATCCAGGGAACTATTCCACCTAGTGGATACATCATGGATGAGTTTACTTTAGGGCAGGTGCAACTGTATTTGTGTCTCATGCAGTATTTCAGTGGCTTTGGGGCTCTTGTGGAAAAAGGTGACCAGCCTCCTCACCTTCAGCAGGATTTGTGAAACGTCCTCCACTTTGAAAGCTTTTTGTGAGGCCAAGTTGAGCGTGTGTGCAATACATCTCACGTGTGGGTCCAGCTCAGCTTGAGCACCAGCTAGTAGCATATTTCTAGCATTATCACTGACCAAAGCTGGGTTTTTGTCCTCCAACTTCCACTCCTGACACACATCTCGCAGTAAGGCCGCTAGATTGATCCCCGTGTGCGACTCGTTAAACACTCTGACGTCGGAACTATTTTCTGAGAGGGGGGGCGGGTTTTTGTTGGGAGAGTCGAGGGAGAGACTCATACTTGGATTGCACTGGATAATAACATACCATCTTAATTGTTAAGAAAAAAAAAAATAAACAATATATATCAAGCAAGTCACTTATCAAACTGAACTTTTTTTTTTTTTCAATACGCATTCATGCGTCAGTCTCTCCGGTGGCTTCGTTGTGTTGTGTAGCCCAGTGACGTGCGGTCAGATGAGGCAGGCAAGGCCCTCACCTAAGATCATAAAGAAAAGTAATAAAATGGATACAATAATGTTTGGTCACTTTATCAAGTGATTTGTGCTGTGCCTTATTTCATTTATTTATACCTTGAAATCGCAGATTTGACAGAGCGCTGCTGTGAGGCAAGCCTCTCTTGGGAGACGTAAAAAGCAACAGCTCACAGGGAGAGTCCTGTGAGGTGCTATCAAACTGTTTTCTCTGTTTATCACAGTTTACAAAGTTCAAAAGTATTTAATTTACAATCAACATGTTTACATTTAAGAGGATGGCTCATAAATTGTGTTTTTGAAGCAAATATGGGTCTTAATCGCGCTCAACCACAGCTTGTAAGTGAGGAAAGCCTCAAGGGGGCGCTTGTGAGCCCAAACTTTGGCTGCATCCAATTCCATCAGAAAGCTCCTTTCTTGTTCTTCTTCTGCTATAAGGGCAGCTACAGGTTTGGCTAACATACCTATAATACATTTTAAGATAATTTAAAATGCACTTAGAGTAATGTTTTGCTTCCAATGATGATATGAATCATAAGAAAAGGAGGTGAAGGGTAAGGTTGAATTTAGAAATTGGATTTACCCGGGAGTCGGCTGCAGCAAAACTCGGAGTTTACGGAGGAGACACCCGTTTTTTTTACTTTTTAAAACTCATTAAACTTATTTCCAAATGGAGGATTACATGTCTGTGCTCAAACTATTATCTGGACTTAAACATGAAACTGGTCCTAACTGAAGTGGTCTGTGCTGTTCATTAATACCTAAGGTAAGGCCCATAACACACTTTGTACTTTTTACAAACGTTTGCGTTTTGTATGAGAAAACAATGCAGACATTAAATCATATTCTGCTGTAGCCAAACAAATTGTGTATAAGCCGCTCCTGTTCCTGTAGGTCCTGTTGGTTTATATGATGTATAATCATATGAACACATGATTGATCCCCCACCGCACGTCACTGGTGTATGGTCTCTAATCTGCGCAAGGCTGAGAAAGAGCGCTCAGAGGCTGCGACAGATATTAGCCAGACAGAGCTTCATAAGCTTCTCCGACAGCATGGAGCGGGTTTTGGGCTGCAAGGAACGCAGGATAGTGATAACTTCTCGCTCCCGGCACACGCGGAGGGGGTGCGGCCGCACCCCCCGCACCCCTAGTTCCGACGTCTATGCTCTGGTCTGTAAGACGTGGCTTTGAAAAGACCAAGCCTCATCCACGTAGTGCACCGTAACTGTGATGTACGAGTCTGTTGCGCAAGACGTCCACCCATCCACAGTTAACGCAACTCTCTGGGCTCTCTGTAGTGACTCCATAATCTCCCGTTTCACTTTCTCGTACAAAGCAGGTATTTCTTTCTCCGTAAATAATTTTCTGCATGGAATTTTGAACCGCGGCTCCAAAACGTGAAGCATGTATTGGAAACCCTCGTTCTCCGTCACGCTGTACGGCTGCAAAGCTTTACAAATGAAGTAAGTTATGGCGTCAGTGACAGCTTTGGCACGGGTAGAATTTGATGCAAGCGGTCCATTAAAAAACTTTGAAATGTTGGGTTCACCGCATGAGACGGGCTCGGAACTAGCCTCCGCCACCTCAATGTTTATATTGTGTCGCCGTTTCACGTGGGCTATGAGGTTGGTTGTGCTGCCGGTGTACTTAATGGTAGCGTTGCAAAGTTTGCAAATAGCATTAGATTTGTCAAGCTTCCCATCTCTCTTGTAAAATCCATAGTGCTGCCAAACCTTTGATTTGTAGTTCGCTGGTGAATATATCCGATTGTGCTCCCGTGATTCCATGTTGTTGTGTTAGCAGCCAGCTGGTGCTAACACCTCCCCACAATCCACTGCACCCCTCCCCACAATCCACTGCGAAAAGGTGAAGTTGTGAAACTATTTCGTTTTGATTAAATCCATAAATGTCATAAATCGCAATTTACCGATGCAATAGTCTGAAATCCGGTGTACTCTAAAATAGTTATCTTACATGAATCGATCTGTGGCTGCTTTTGCCGGTGGACTCGCATCGCGCATGCGCACGTCCGTGTATCGATACAAATCGGTGTATCTTCCCATCCCTAGTAGAGACAGCACGAACAACACGGACAGAGAATGCAAGTGTATTATACATAGTTCCCACAGAACAATGAATGTCACATGACCTCCTCGTAGACGCCATCTTTGATGGCACGCTTATGGCGTCAAAATAGGGTCTGCTTAAACGTAACCGTAAAGCAGGAATTGTAAACGTAGGTTGTAAGTATTGTAAACATAAAAAAATATTGTAAACGAAAAAACTGTAGCGTAACCGTAAAGCAGGAATTGTAATCGTAGGTTGTAGTATTGTAAACATTAAAAATATATTGTAAATGAAAAAAATTAAAACTTACATTTACGGTTCTGATTTTTCATGTTTCGCTTCAAAAGTTACGTTTACGATTCACAAGTTACGTTTACGATTCACAAGTTACGTTTACGATTCACAAGCTACGCTTACGAGTCAAAACTTACGGTTACGATACATTTTTCATCTGACCCCTTTTTGGAGGGGCGGGCTCAGCGCGCCCATTGGCTGGAGACACCGGATGTCACAAAAGCAAAACACACGCACGTTGCTACAATCTTTACAGTCTGGTTACTACAGAAGACGAAGAACAGGCTTCAGGCCATCTACGGAGACCTGCGTACATAAATGCTAAGAGCAAACTTCATAGCTGGTAAGTGTCTGTGTCCTACAGAAGCTAATAATGAAAGAGTCCAACTCCAACCCATAAGTGATCACTTGGTTACATCATGTCGCTATAAGAAGAGAACCCGCTGCTACCTGATTTAATCATGATCAGTCAAGTTAAAGCCAGCTCACTTTTAGCGCCGCTATAACAAACAGCTGACGTTGCTAAAATGCTAACATGGAGTCAGGGTGAATGCGCACGCACGGTCGCTGAATGCGCGCTCCCGACCCCGCTGTAGCCACATCGCGGATCAGCGAAGCAGAGAGGAGTCACTGGAGCGCAGGAAGGAGCAGACGCTGGGAGTGGAGCGTATCGTGCGGGTTATATACAGCTAATAAAACACTTGTTTGGATAAATATCACTTGGTGGTTGGCATAATCCGATCTGTGACTGGGCCGGGATGGCGTCCTTGGCGGACGATGACGAGGACTTGATGCAGTTTAGTCAGGAATTAGGGGGTTCGGGTGCGTTTGACAGGAGTAGGAGTGGAGGGGGATTGAGCAGTAGCCAGGTTAGGAAACGGGGGTTGGATGGGAATAGTTCAGATGAGGGGATCTCGGGCCGCAAAAGGATAGTTAGGGAGCAGCAGAATCCTAAAGTAATTCTTAAGTTTCGGCAGGAGAATGACATAAAAAATGTGAGCCTGGTTGTGTTGTCAAGGGAGTTGAGAAAGAAAATAGGAGAGGTAGAAGTGGCAAAGGTGCTGAGAGATGGGAGTTTGTTGATTGTGTGTACTTCGGAAGAGCAGAAAAAGAAAGTGTTGCAGTTGGAACATGTGTGCAAGATAGCAGTGACTGAAAGGAGAGTAGTTGGAGAAAAAAAGGCTGTGCGTGGGGTCATAACAGGTGTCCCCTTAGACGAGGACCTGGAGAGGTTTAGGCAGTGTTTAGGTGGAGGTGTCAGTGGAATTAGACGGTTGATGAGGCGAGTGGATGGTCAGAGTGTGCAAAGCTTATCGGTTTTACTGGAGTTTACAGGTGCAGTACTCCCTGAAAAAGTGAAGGTGGGGTGTTTGAGTTTTCCCGTGAGAGAGTTTGTTCCGCCTCCTCTCCGGTGTTATAAATGCCAACTGTATGGGCATGTGGCAGCGGTCTGTAGGGGGAGGCAGAAGTGCCCTAGATGCAGTGGGGAGCACAGAGTAGAGGAGTGTAATGAAAACAGTACTCTTAAATGTAGTAACTGTGGAGGGCAACATGCTGTAACCTACGGAGGATGTGAAGTAAGGAAAAAAGCGGTGGAGATTCAGAGAGTGAAGGTTATGAACGGTGTCTCTTACGCAGATGCAGTGAGGAAAGTTCAAAATCAAGACCCAGGAGTGAGTGGTGACCAGAGTGATGCTAGAGGGAAGAAGCAGAGTGTGAGTGAGGGTAGTATGGTGTCGGTGGATAATTTGATGGTGTTTCTAGCATATGTCATAAATTGTGCAGATCAGGCAAAGCATAAAACAGATAAAATTAAGATTATTGTGAAAGGAGCGGAAAAGTACCTCGGTATGAGAGGTGTTTCCTGGGAACAGGTGAACAAAAGGTTGGAGGAGGAGAAGAGAATGGTTGTGGGAGGGGGAAGTGAGAGAGTAGTATGAAAATCATTCAATGGAATGCAAGGAGTTTAATGGCTAATGGACAGGAGTTAAAAGGTTATGTGCAGAACAAGGAGAGGAGACCTGATATTATATGTGTTCAGGAAACATGGCTCAGGCCATCATTGGATTTTGTGATTAGGGGGTATGAATGTGTGCGTAGGGATAGACAAGGTGGTAATGGTGGAGGGTGTGCTGTTTTTATTAAAAATGGAATGCAGTATAGGGTGGTGAGGAAGGGGACAGAGCTTGAGTTTATTGTGGTAGAGGTGTGGGTTAGTGAGGGGAAAGTTACCCTGGTGAATTTCTATAATCCCTGTAGGAGGCTAACAATGGATACGTTGCGGGAACTGGATGATAACCTAGAGGGTAAAGTAGTATGTTGTGGTGATTTTAATGCACATAGCACATTGTGGGGTGAACGGAATGATGAGAATGGGGCAGTGATTGAGGAATTATTGGATGCTAGGAATTTAGTGTGTCTGAATGATGGGAGTGGAACACGGATTAACTTCCAGAATGGGAATGAATCTGCACTAGATCTTACTCTAGTGTCAGAGTCTATTGCAGGGAATTGTAAGTGGAGGGTTGATAAGGAGACTACTATAGGTAGTGACCATTATCCTGTAGAGGTTGAGTTGGGATTCAGTGTTGAAGAAGTTACCACAGAGGGGGTAGGGAAATGGAGTTTTAGTGGTGTTAAGTGGGATAGATTTAGTTACATATGTGATAGGGAAATGGAAAGAGTAAATGTTAATGGAGGTGTGAATGATTTTAATAGTTCTCTATGTAGTGCAATTTTGGAGGCAGCCAAACAGACAATCAAGAAGAAAGGAGGAAAGGCTCAAAGGAAGAGTGTTCCTTGGTGGTCAGATGAATGTAATAATGCTATTAAGGATAGAAACAAGGCTTTTAAAGTGTTTAAGAGGAATCATTGTTTCCAAAATCTGTGTGACTATAAACGGAAGCTCGCTGTAGTAAGGAGAGTTGTTAAAGAAACTAAAAGAGCATACTGGGCACGATATTGTGATACTTTAGGGAGGCAAACATCAGTGGGTCAAATATGGGGGACAATTAGGAGAATGGGAGGAAGTAAAGCTAGTTTTGGGTATCCAGCAATGTCATCTGGTGGAAGTGTAATTTTAACTAATAAAGGCAAGGCTGATCTTTTAGCTCAGCAGTTTGTGAAAGTCCATAGTAACGGAAATTTAAGTGAAGAAGAAAGGAGAGGAAGGAGGGAAACAGTTAGATGTAATTTGAATAGTCTTGAGGATGTGGAGGAGTGTGATAATGCAATTAATGATGAGTTCAGTATTTGGGAGTTGAACAGGGCATTAAGCAGATGTGGCAATACTACCCCTGGAGAGGATGACATAAGCTATTGTATGCTGAGAAACTTGAGTGATAGAAGTAAGATTGTGTTGTTAAAGTTGTATAACAAAGTATGGGTAGAGAGTAGACTGCCAGAGCAATGGAAAGAGGCAATTGTAGTTCCTATTTGTAAACCAGGTAAAGATCCTTCTGCTGCAGAAAGTTACAGACCAATAGCTTTAACATCACATGTTGGGAAGGTAATGGAGAGAATGATTAATGATAGGCTAGACTATTTTCTGGAAAAGAATGCGTTGATCAAGAATCACCAGTATGGTTTTAGGAAGGGTAGGAGTACAGTAGACCCTTCTTTGCTTTTAGAAGACGAAATTAGGAAGGCGCAGGTGAACAAGGAGTGCGTTGTCTCAGTGTTTTTTGACGTTGAGAAAGCATATGATATGATGTGGAGGGAGGGGCTGATTATAAGATTGCATAAGATGGGTGTACGGGGGAAGATGTTGAAATGGGTTCGAGATTTCTTATCAGGGAGAAAGATATCAGTCCGAGTAGGGAAAGAGTGTAGCTCAAAGTTTGAGGTTGAAAATGGCACGCCGCAGGGCAGCATTGTAAGTCCAGTATTATTTACAATTATGATAAATGAAATTTTTTGTGACATTGAGTCATCAATTGGAGTGTCACTGTTTGCGGACGATGGTATAGTGTGGAAAAGGGGGAAAAATGTACGGTATATTGTTAAAAAGTTGCAAGAAGCTATCGGGATGGTTGAAGCCTGGTCAACAAAATGGGGTTTCAGATTTTCAGTGAGTAAAACAAAAGTCATGTTTTTTACCAGGAAAAGAGTGGGAGATGACATTAATCTTACTTTATATGGGAAGAATCTTGAACGAGTGAATGAGTTTAAGTACTTAGGGTTAGTGTTTGATAGTAAGTTGACATGGGCAGCCCATATTAATAAGGTAATAGAGAAGTGCAAAAAGGTGATGAACGTAATGAGTGTCTTAGAGGACGGGACTGGGGAGCTAGTCAGTATTAAAACTGTGTATGTGGCGTTAATCATCTGCTTTAGACTTTGGAATGTGGTATACGGCTCTGCGGCAAAAGAATTTAAAGAAGCTAGATGTTGTACAATTGTAAAGCCTTGAGATTATGTTGTGGGGCTGCAAGATCCACTCCAGTCTCTGCACTGCAGGTGGAGATGAGATGCCTCTGAATTTAGGAGATTGCAGTTGACCTTAGTGTATTGGCCAATTTGCAGGGGAGCAGTAAGATCATCCTTGTCAGAGGAAGTTGTTAAAAACAACTCAGAGAGAGGGAAAGAGCCAACTGCCAATTTTTGCTTGAATAGAGGGCAGTTTAGAATCAGTATATATAAGAAATCTAAGTAATTAACGTAATCCCACATGCTGCTAGTAACCTCCGTGGTTTTCATTGGAGCCAACATGTCAATTTTAACTCTTTGACTATAAAAAACTATAATTATAACAATGTAATTGTTCACTGAATTTTTAATTGAGCATCTAAGAGATTTATACGGAGCACTCAAAAATGGATGTAAGTGAGGCGTTTGCTGTGTAGGTAATCCCATATTGGAATAAACCATGTAAACGAACAAATTGATAAACTGGAGCATCTACACACCAGAAGACACTGTGGCTGTATTGCCATCGATTTGTTTGACAAGAAAATGCACAGTATTACTAATGTATTGTGTAGCCGTCTGATTACCATTAGTGCTTCTTCAATAATAAAAAGTTTGTAACAGAATCGAGACAGCGTTAGTTTATGAGATACACTAATAATGCAACAGTTAAAAAGATAGGCAGGGAAACAAGTGGGGTTATATTGGTACACGCGCATATAGGGTAAAGAGACATGAAGAGCGACAGAATACGCTAAAAAAGGGCGCAAGATGGGTCTCTGGAGATCCCTGTTTCGACTAAGCAAGACAGAAGTGCGAAAGTCTTAATCAAAGTTAGAAACACAAACGAGAATGCAGAGAAAGCGGAGAGGAGGATAAAGGAACAGGTTGTTATTTTATTGTGCAACATCAAGGGTGGACAAGGGTAATAGGAGAAGTCAGCCTGAAGAGAGAAAGAAACAATAACCACGACTGAAATAATACATACCTACTTAACGTTACATTAAGCATTTAATGCGGAAAACACCGACTGGAACATGTGACACTGAGGAGCAAGAAACTGGTGTGCATGTCCTTATGGAATTGTCACATACAGAAGATCCATGAAGAGTTGCTTAAACACTATGAGAATTGAGCACAACCGAAACATTTCGCTTAAAAGCAAGTATGAAGTGGTGTATTCGGGTAGGGGGTGAAGTAGTCTTTTGCGTATTACATATCGTTTAGCGGCATTTTTATTCTTTACCATATAGAAGACTGAAAGACTGAAGGGGGCCGTTCCTGGC